GACCCTATTCCTGGTTACAACCCCAGGGATGCAAAAATATATAGCAGAAGTCTTAGACTGCACTAATTGAACTCATTTCTGGGGGCTTGTCCTGTCCTGCCCTGTCCTGCCCTGTCACTAAGTCATTTGATCCCAGGGAACGAACCTCCCTAATAATGCGTTCCGCCAAAAGTCCTCAAGCCTTTTTCTTAGCGCTAATTCGGGGCCGCCAGATCAACAACATCTCGCAGCATCTGCTGCACCTTGCCAGGATGTGCTAATGGAACGAGGCATGGCTAGAGTTCCACCCTTTCATAAGCCCATGCTGAACGCGTTCTGGCGGGGCCCTTCTCCTACACAGGGGATATGGAAAAGAAATGTACGCCACCTACTCGAGTGGGTCTACGGCAGCGGTGTACGACATCGTCTCCGTCATGCCATTCCTGAACACCTGCGTAGCCGTCGCCGGCGTGGAGGTGGTTCCCAGGTCCTCGGAGCCCGTTGTAGCGGTGGAGACGACATCCTCCGATGTCCAGGATCGAACCTAAGGATGTCGCGGTTACGGCGTCAGAAGGGTCATTCCTCGCATAATCTTCTACAGTATTGTTCTTTGCCTGCTCTGTCTGAGCTCGGAGTAATCTTGGAACTGTTTTTGGAAAATGCCAATGCAGTCGATGCTTGTCGACACAGCATTACCATGCCTCAAACAGATGTCCCCGCATGCACATGCATCCACGGACGTCCACCTCCCTGATCCAATCCCACCGGCACAGGGGAAAATGTTCCAACTCTGTGCCCGCAAATTTTCGCAGTAAATCATCTTCCCACCAAGGCGCTTTAGGAGTATATACTTACTGGCGATTTTTAAACTACGCACCATGTACGGCATCGCCCGTTCGGCCCCTGCTTGTTGCACAACGTACCTGTGACATCTGGATCTTCACATGCGCCACCGCTTTCACTACGGGTCCCGCCTCCAGACACTGCGCATCACCGCTGCCGTCATTTTCCTCCACTATATCGCGATGCTGCATCGCCAATTGCACCTCCAGATCCAGATCTAGCATCTGGCATTTGTTGGAGATCCCGCGGAGGCGTACCGGCGTGCTGTAGCAGCTGTAGCGCTCAACACCCTGGATACCTCCCTCCGAAGAAGCTTTGAAGTCCATTGCCGACCCCAGGTACCTAGCTTTGCCTTCCATGATCACCTTGCTATTGCTGCTGCTGTTACTATTGGAGTCTGTACTAATGTACGGCAGTACCACCCATCCGCAACGTGTCGTGACGGTTAGCATCAGCACGCCAGTGCGCATGCGGAAGGCAAACAGATTTGCTACAACCGGTGAGCCGTTGCCGCTGTAGCTGCTGTTGTACGGCTCGACGAGGGTGACGTCGACGGTAGCCCCCATGCCGCACATCTGCAATGTCGGGCAGAAATGGGGGCGATGTGGTGGTACATTTCAATACCAGTGTCACCGTCACCGACATCACTGGTATCCCACATTAGCATTTACGCGGTTATGGCCTGTTAAGATGGGCACCGTTCTCTGCGTAGGCTCAAACGGTTGTAACGTACATAACTGAATGCCTGCAGCTGGCGATATAGTTTACGACGGAGGTGGGGCCGCCGGACTGACTGTGGGGGTAGGCGTGAGGCGGTTGGGTGGGAGCAGCGGAGCATTAGCAATAGCCGTCCGCCCAACACCAACAGACCATAAAACTCCCTCTAAACCTGACCCTACTGTCCACGAAGGTACCGCAGCACCCAGCAAGTCTAAGTTATTGGGTGCATCGAGAGCCTAAACAGGCCTTAACAGGTTCGAAACCTTGGCGGACACCTACCGAATCGATGGATATCGCCCCCCCTAGAAAGCTGGGCAGCTTGCAGAGGGCCGAGTCCTCTCCGTAAAAGTCTGCAACCTGCGGGGTTGGGGATGGGGTGCCCACGCCGATGCTAGCGTCAGTTGGGGTTTTAGGAAGCGCCAGGAAATGGAATTGAACTCAAGCAGTGACGGTGGCAATGCCAACGGAGGGGACTGGTGCGGGATTGGAAAGCCGCCCGAACGCGAGTTGAGTTCCACGGGAGGTCACTGCCAGTGCCAGTGCAGGACTGCCAGCAGCACCAATACTGCGGAAGGGCCCGCTGCTGTTGTGGGCTTTGCGCGCCAAACCCTAAGTCCCCGAGCCCCATGGGCGCGAGCTGTGTTTGGGAAAACTGTGAGGGTAACCGAAGGTATCTGTTGTGATAAACGAGCGGCGGTGAGATGATACAGGCGGATTTGGAAGCAGTCGAAATACATGGATTGTGGAACCATTCCCTAACCCCTGCGTAGCGAGTAACTGCCCCTTGTCCCGCGAGGCATCAGGCCTTTGATCAACATGAACTGCAGCCCGTGCGGCTCAACAGACGTCATTCCTTGCCAGCTTGGGATCTGTTTGTGCGGCTGAAGCTTAGATGGCAAGCTGCTTTGCGGCCTCGAACTACCTACTAACCACCTCACCCTTCTTAGCTGCCGTGAAAACAAGGACGGGACAAGGCAAAACGCCGTGCACTAACCAGGCATGGGTTTGAATCGCGGTAAGCGCACGCGTTGCATTCTTCGGGAAGTGAGCACATCCCCGTCGCCGCGCCCAGAAGCTCCAGGTCGAAGGCACGGTTCGGGTCGCTGAAGTCGACGCGCAGCGGCACTCCGGCTACACCAGAGCTTAAGAGGGCAATTTCTTCATCGGTTATATCTTTGGTCACAGGTTGTGCCTGGACGGAGACGCTGCTGTCCGTGGCGTCACAGACCGGCGCAACTCCCATGAGTACCGTCATCAAAAGAGCAAAGGCTACAGTGATGCTTGCACCTTGATGCCTTCCATATCGATGGATGTAGGAATCAGAACTTCCAAACATGGCTGAATAGGTTACCAATTTTGCAAGTCACGTCTTATCGTCCTAAGTCGGGGCGACTCCCAGGTTAGGGCTAGTATGTGACAAGGAAGTAGGCATTGCTTAAGAGCTTTTATTATTAGTTTATTTGCACATGTTTGATTTGACACTTCAAGGTTACAAAGATAGCCAGGTCCCTAACCGCTACTAATTAGGTACGTTAGTTCACTCCTCCAAAGAGAGCGCCAAGCTTATTCACTAGATCTAATGTAATAGCGTAAGTCTTTCCACTGGAACCGCCCACCTTGCAGTTCGATGCAGCCCCCCTGCCCCGGGACAGCCAAATTGCCATACTTCATCCAACAGGGCAACCAATGTAATCCTTCGTTATAAAATATACAAGATGCTAACTATGTTTCTAGTCAATTCAAGCGTGTTTGATGGTGGGCGCTAACGATGAACTACTTCAACCAACGCCATCCCGAACCACTTTCATGGACGCAGACATCGGCAAACGGGGTATTTCTGGTTTCGGGAACTTGTATAATTCTGTATTCTAGTAAATTTTTACATGGCTGCCGAATGAAAATGCGTTTTTTGCATCAGTTTGACATTTGTATACAGCGTATGATCCTAGTTCTGCAAGCCGGCCGGCTTCGGGAACTCTATTTCTTTTTTCGGGAGTTTCGGTCACAGGCATTCCAGAATTGTTAATCGGTACAACCCCGAAACTCCCGAAGCGTTTGCCGATGTTTGCATTGACGCTGTTTGCTCAGGAGCCGGGATCACGGCGTAAGGCCAGAATATGCAAAACAACACCATCATACAAGTAAAACATTTGATATGCGATTGCATTGATGATAAAGCCCACGAACGAAGCCCGAAAAGGCCCGGTACCTCCAGGACATGCGCCGACACGCGCAGGCGAGGCAAAGTGCAACGCCTCAACAAACCCATCACATCGTGTGTGTCACGTAGGACGTTAAATTGGACTGGACCTGCTTAAATTATACATAGCTATCCGCGCTGCACAAAGTACATAGGGGTACATAACTCTTAGATGGTAGACCCGGTACAAGGAATTCGGGGCAAATGGACTGCCGCAAATGCATAACGGAATCTGCAAGCGACGGCAAGGCTATCTGTGCCCAACTGAATTGCAAGTCGTCCAAGGGCATTTTCAAGCAACGGCAAGGGTATCCGAGGCGTACTGTAAACGGATCTTGGGAAGGGCGCCAGGGGCAGCCGCGGAAGATTGAGCTGGCCTAGCTCTGCCTAGCCGGCGTTGCTTCCGTTTGGGCTCCATCTGTCAGTAATGTGTCTGAATGCGTCGCATGATGATTTAGGTGAACAAGGAGGTCAAGTCATAAAACGTAATGCGTTTTCCAGCTTACGGTGTCCTTCCCATTCCCATTCATTTACAGGTAGCCCATTTTCGGATACCTTACGGACCCCATCAGTTAGTTACTCGATTGAGTTGTTAACAATTCTGGAATGCCTGTGACCTGCATAAGGAGGGAAATGACATTACCAGAGTGGAAGGCCATGTGTCGAGATGTCGGAAGGTCTGTCGCGATCGGTACGGTACGGTCTGGTACGTACGATTGTGGATGGCATCGAGCGCCGTACAGCGTGTCAGATTGCTTTCATCCTTTGAGATCCTGAGTGAATGCCAGCTTTCCGAGACGTTTGATAGCTTGAAATGGCCTAACTTTTGCCCCATTGAGTCTGATCCGTGATGCCCTTGACGCAGGGCCATCCTAATGTCGTAGCAAGGATGAGGATAAATCGCGCAAGACGGCTACTTCTTATTCGTCAACAGCTGCAACAGCAGCAGCGACTGCTGGGCAAGCATCTATTCTTTGGCTATGCGGCATAAATTCAGCGCGCATGCAAATAAAAAAACAGGTCAGGGTTTCGGAGCGGATGACAAAGGCAGGAGGTAAAGCCCTGTACAGGAGCCTGCATGGTACCCAGCTCGTTATCCTTAAAAGAATGAGCATCTGAAAAAATTGTTGCGTTCCAGACGTGCCTGGAAAGCCTTTGTCGTGCTTGGCACCTTTAGGAAAGAGGAATTGAGACAAAGGGTGCCAATATTACTGTATTGACTTGAGAGTAGTTAACTGTATAATTACCCGTCTTGCAAATGGCGCAAGGCGACCGCCGCGACTTTGAGGATACCGGCCAAGGTACGCCGACGAATGGACACCGCAGACACAAAGCCTTATGTATTTGCATGCTGGAGTATGCACAACATCATCTTTATGCACAGCAGAATCTTGATAGATTTACAGCGGTGACAACGTGATAGGCGCCAACCTGGCCGTCGTGGTCAAGGTCTCGCCTGCTCTCGTGATTGAATCTAGCTTCTTGTATGAGCTTAACGCGGCCAGGATCATCCAAAAGTGCACAGTGTCCTCTAATGAGCTTCTGGCACGGGCTTTTCCTGTTCGAAACTCTCGTCCATGGTTTTAGACCGGGTGCGCGCCGTGTCTGACCCAGATTCCTTACCTCATGGAGCTCTGGAACCCATTTCCCCCTCGCTGGCTTGCGTGCCGTTTTCTATTCGTTCTGAACTTCTGAACGATGGTCTTCGTCGCGTACCTCCCATCCTCTCCAGCCTTGGAAGCGCCGCTGCTGGCTCCCTCTTTTCAACTTGAGGATCACCTTAAAACAAACTTCTGGGAATGCACTTTCAACCTCACCAAAGTCATCCTTGGAGCTGGCATCATGGTAGGCACGCTGTGCTGCTATCCATGCCCCCTGTCTCGTGCTCACACACGTGCTCGCGTCCCGCCTTTTCCTACAAGAAGATCTGGCCTTTTTTTGCTTTACAAGCTTTGAAATACTGTACACATGATCTGCATGTGATGCTTCTATGCATTTCTATTCGCTGGCTAGATGGCCTGACCTCCTCCTGCCTTCCTTGCCATGCGTCTCTAGCAGCGAAGAACTCGTCCTTTTTGACATGCATCCTTCCTGTTTTCCAGATGTCTTGCCGGCTTGTTCCTTTCCCCTTCTTCCATTGCTTGACTAGGATGCAGTTGGTTCAAATATCCCCTCCTCACCTAAATTCCTGCCTGGAAGCTTCCGTGTCGTTGCCGTAACTTTTCGTATACTCCGTGTACGTCGATATGGGTCCCTCGAGCTGCCCACCGATTCACACGCCACCTTTGCGCAACTTTTGCCGTACCCCCCTGCCTGTACGTCCACGTAAGCCCCGTTCGCGGCGTTCCCAACCTCCTCCCACTCCTGTCTTGCTTGCACATCCGCCAAGATCTTTCAACAAAAGAACCCCTGCGGCGACCGAAAAGTCCTGTCCAGGCACTCTCCAGAGCATCCTGGACCCCTGCGACGAGCTCCCCATTGAGTTGCCGCGCTTCCCTCCCCAGCATCCCCTGTCTTTCCTCCCTTTCCCCCCTTTTCACCCCCCCCCTAACTCCATCCGTCTATCTCTGGTATTTGCTACATTTGCCAGTGGATCGTCTTACCCCCCCGCCTTTCTCGCTGCCGCAGGCTCTTCCCAAGGCCGTTGCAATGCTGGGATGGGGCCTGGGCATGTCGCTGCTGGTGGTTGTTGGCCTGCTGACCCACTTCACTGTGCACGGTGCGTCTCTGTCTTCGACACAGGGACGAACCACCCGCGTGATGCTAGCCACCGCGTCATTAGCTGTAGCGCCAGCTAGCTCTTTCTAGCTTACGTTACAGTCCATGGCGCTGGTTGGCTGGCTGAGAAGCTTTTGCAGGCTGCTGGCTAACTGCTGTCCGGGCGTTCTGACTGATCTCTAGACTGCATCGACTTGCACAGCTTGTTGGCGTTTGCATGTTCCAACGCTGTTGCTACTGTTACTGCTACTGCTATGAGCTGCTGCTCCTGACAAATGTGACAACATGTGTCAACATAATGACCTCGTTTGTTGTTGCTTCCGCGCCGTGGTTCCTTAGGCCTGGTGTATGCCTCCGACCGGTGTCGGCGGGATACGTACTCGGCCCTGACGAGGACAGCCCTGGGTCCCCTGGCGGAGAAAGTGCTGCAGGTGGGGCAGGAAGGGAGTGCGGGGAAGGGGGATGTAGCGCATACTGTTATGGTTGGAGGAGAAAGGAAAATAGCAGGGTATCGCTTCTAAAGTGGGTCGGGTGTCTGGGTTTGGATGGATGAGGGGAGTGTGGGTGATTTGGGTTTGGGCGGTGTGGGCGTCGATGGCTGATTGCTGGGTTGGGGGACACCAGTTTTGGAGGGGAAGGTTTTCATGGTGCCTACCTGTGGATTATGATTTTAGTCTCCTGGGCCATGCCTCCTTAGCCTCAGCCGCAGCTGTAGCCGCAGCTGTAGCCTCAGCCGTAGCCGCAGCTGTAGCCATCCATTCCGGCATGCATCAGCTCCGGGACACCATTCAAAAGGTCCTTTGCCGCGATAATTATGATTGCAGCACCAGGATTATCACCACCACCTTCGTGATGTGATGTATGCTGGGGGAACATATTCGGGGCTTTACGTTATCCCTCGTCTCTCAAGTGGGTTGCCGGGCTGCCTTAGGACCTTGGCGCCCAGGTCCGAATTCCTTTCCTTACAATCCCCATGCTCGCTCGTTCTTTTTTCTCTCCCTCTCATTTCTCTCTTCCTCTCTCTCCCTCTGTCTCCTTCTCCCTCTCTTTCTTTCTCTTTCTTTCTCTATCTACATATCTATCTATCTTCCTTCCTTTGTTTCCAACTTTCTTGAGGCTCTTAAAGATGCCGTGCTTAAACGCGCCCCTGCCTCTCCTCGCTCGCTGTAGGCTGCAATGCTGCTTGGCTGCCTGGGCTTTGAGGTCGGGTGGCGACAAGGGGGAAACGTCGGGGGATGGGAAGTGCCGCACGCGCAGGCCTGGGGTTGATTTTAGTCGGGTGGTTGTTGGTATCTGATTTAGTGGTTTCAAAGTGCAGAAGAGGGCTAGCGTTAGTGGTTGAGAGGTTAGTGGTTGGGAGGGGACTGGTATGGGCTATCTATGATATGGGTATGGGGCTCTATTAACACGGTGCGTCCTGAGTGTCTGGTTGAGGGTGATTGGGAGTCATGCGAAACAGTCCCGGTCTCCTGACCCCTTCTGCCTTCCCGCGCTCCTGAACCATAAAATTCAGGTCGTGTATATCCCGCCCTTCCACCATCTGCCAATCAGGTCGTGTATATTGACATTATTGGAGACCTGCTAATCGGTAAGCGTGTATGTCTTTTGACTACCACACTGCCAGCCCAGCAGGCCCAGCAGGCCCAAAACCTTATTGCTTTTCGATATGTTCTCTTATCTCGTTCCAATGCGGATATTTCGCATAAGTCGCTTGTGAAAGGAACGCCTTTTGCCGAAGTATGTGACACATCGCACTCATCCGAAGCTGCCACACTGCTCGCAAACATCGTAATAAAGAGGGGAGGGGGCTCTCCTGTGTTGCGCTGCGCAATGTTGGTACTAAAATTACACAGCGCATCTTGCCGTACGGCGATTGGAAGCTTGTATCACATGGCTTTGTATTCTGGCCCCTCCAGGCGATGAGCCCGACCGCGACGGCCTGGTCACAGCATGGCTTCCTTCCCATCTCAGGTGCGAGTTTCGCGGTTCTTTGATTTCCTAGCTTTCCTGGTTAAGTCTCAACAGTTTCTTTATTTTGCTCACGTCCAAAATATTTGTAATTATATTTGTAAATTTCCATCTTCCCTGGTCCTGCTGTTGGTACTTCTTTGCTAATGCTGCACTGCAGGCATGAGTGGTGGGTGGGTAGGCCCTTCGTGTTGGCCATTCTGACCGTTGCCGTACTGGCCCCGCTGACGTCACTTCGCACCATGAACCACCTGGGCGCGGTCAACGTGGTCGGTCTGTTGTCACTGGTGGGCTTTGCGGGCGCGACGTGCTGGTTGGGCCTGGCAGCAGTGACCCAAGGGTCGGCCTACCAGATGCCCTTTGGGCCCGATATGGAGGGTCTGGGACCGGACACGGCGTCCCGGATTACTTCGGCGCTGGCGGTGGTGCCCATCCTGCTTACCGCGGTGAGTCGTGGGGACGTCCGTACGGTGCCTTGGGCGATGTGGGAAGGGGGTTAGCGTGCGTCTTGATTTGAGTGGTTGGGTATGTGTGGCAGATATTTAAGTTGGGAAGAGGACCCCTCAGGGCCAAGAGAAAGGGACTTTCCCTTGGCCCTGATGCGTGAGAGAGAGTGTGAGAGAGTGTGAGAGAGTCAAAGGATCCGGGTACGGGGTGATGGGTGACTGAGCAATGCGTGGAAAGGATGAGTATCTTGGAAGGCCGTGAGGAGGCGTCCCGAAATTCCTTATGCGTCACTGGAGACAGGGCTTAATTAGGACCAGAGGACGTAAGGTGCAGTTGTCGTCCTCCTGTCGCGTCACGTAGCCCGAAGCGAACAGCGCGACGTGTGTTCCTCAACCCGCTTCCTAAGGCTCAAAAACATGTTGCGGAAATTCGCAACCAAACCAAGACCTGTTTTCCCTTTTTAGGCATCTTGCCACCAATCCGTACATCCCCTGCGCGCCATGCTGGTGCCGTACAACCCCGCCGTACTTGATCGCGTGGTCGCGCTGTCGCTGACCATGGTCACGGTTCTGTTCATGGTGGTGGCGTATGCCGCATACACGGCGTTTGGGCAAGACGTGCGAGGAAATTTCCTGAACAACCTGTCGCCTGCACAGCTGAGTCCATTGATTGGGTCAACCGCCGCAACGGTCGTGTCGTTTGGCGTGAAGGGCGGCTACGCTGGCAGCCTTATTGGGTCGTCGGTGCTCATTATGTTTCCCCTTCGGCAGTCAACGCTGGTGGGTACCTCGGGGTATAGTTGTACCCCTCAATAGTTGTAACCCCCAAAACCGTCTGGGGACGAATTAGACCAACAAGGAAAAAGAGGACGTTGACCGACCGCCCTCAGTGCCTATTATGGCCTGCATGCTTCCCTCTAAAGCACACTGACTTGAATGCTTACGGCTGTGCCTTTCTTTGTTCTGGAATCACCTGGTGGTGTGCGATTAATATGAATATGATGTATGTGATGTTTCCTTTTTCCAAGACTAGACACGTTTGAACTGTAATGCATCAACTGGCACATCGTTCGCCTTCCAATTATTAGCCACCCCACGTTACCCGTAACATTCGGTTGCTAATCGCATATGGGTTTCTCATTTACCCCAGTGCCTTGCCTTTACGTAGTCTTGTCATGATCACATTTTTAGCTTAACCTAAGGCTCTGCCCTTATCGCTCCGTTCTTCTGCGTCCAGGAGGTTGTCGCGCCCGCACAAGCCCTGCCGGGCGCACCGCCTGTGCCCGCGTCGTTGTATTTGTCGTGCACGTATGGCCTGCTCGTCGCTACGTACGGCATTGCAGTGTTCGTACCCTCGATCTGGGACGTCATTAGTTTTGTGGGTGCTGTGTCCTGCACCATAATGTGTTTTATCATTCCCGCGGTGCTCATCCTACATTTTAAGGACCGCCCGACGATGTCGCACGTGCTTCAAAGGGGAGCCGCGTGGGTCGTGGCCGTGCTGGGTGTCGGACTTTTCATCAATATTTTTGTTGGGATGTATTTGTCGGCAACTCGGCATTCCCAGCCTCAGCCTTCTTCCCCGTCCGGCCAGGTGCTGGGAGAACTGCTGCGCGGCGCTTGGGGGCTACGCGGGGGTTTGCTACAGGGTGCAGGGAGCGATAATAGCGTGCAAGCCGTTTGGAAGTGGGCAGGCTGGGGAGCTTGAGGGGTTTGAAGCTGTGGCTGTGGTTGCGGAGGGATGTGGGTTTGCAGGTATGCTTCGTGGTCATGCATGTAACATGCCTTGTTTATGTCGGCGAGAGTTACCACTACGAAGGCTGGTCGTCTGCGGATCGTGGTTTGGTATTCATATTGTTTTCCGAGTTGGCGCATGGCAAAAGGGCTATGAGGGACGCAAGGGAATTCGCTAGCAGGCTTAGCGATGTGACTACCTGGGGGAAGACCAGGGCGGTTGCCCGCCACAGGCGATAGATATAAGTATTGAAGGTTTTGGTTCTTTGGCATATAAATTGCGGAGCGCATTCGCTCTGCTCCTTCTTTTGTCCAGTACGGCCTGGCAGTACGGAGTTTGCAGTTGTAGTTATGATGCTACTTCGGAGGAAACCGGCAGGCTCTGTTCTCAACAAGTTGACTCGGAAGACAGAGGTCCTCCGCGGTGCTGCATATCGCTGCCCTTATTTCCAGTTTACCTGACCGATGGCCAAGGCACAAATACTATCCCTAGCTGGGGCTGCGCTTCTAGGTGCTGGCCTCGTCCTTGGCTCAAAATACCTTGCGAGCCTGAAGAAACGGAAAGCTGTTCGGGTCCTTATTACTGGCGCAGCGGGTGAGCTGGAGAACGTGTGCAACTGCAACTGCAAAGTATTCGCTGAAGTCCCAGCGATTGTTCCGGGGAACAGAGTTTCTCCAGATTTCGAATTGCGACATGATTTTTTGCTGCTTGCACACTCTCCCGCTGTGGTTCGTCCGATCGACGAAACGCGATGGAGCTCGCCCGAAGCGATATCCAAGATAACCTCAATCCCTGGAAATGCCTTTTCCTTTATTTTCAGGCCAGATTGGCTATGCGCTTGCTCCGCAAGTGGCAACAGGCGCCATGTTTGGAACCGACCAGCCGATTGTCCTGCACCTGCTAGATGTCGAGCCTGCAAAAAATGCGCTGGAAGGGCTCCGCATGGAACTGATTGATGGTGCATATCCGCTCCTGGAAGGTGAGCTTCATGCTTTTGCATAGCGCAAACCCACGATATGAGGCCTTGAGGCTACCACCTAACGCTGTGCGATTTATCCTAACATTATGTTAGCCTTTGTTAACAGGGAATCATAAGATTTTTCCCAGAAACGTTTTGATGCTTATGAAATCTTGACCCTCGGGTCGTTAGGGGACCACCTACGAACGAACCGGACACTCACTGCGCTTAAACCGTCTTCAGGCAATTGCATGCATTTTGAATACTTGCACCGGCGTGGCATTCTCGAGGCGCTGTGTCGATGGTATGCCCGGGCACCGTCCTATCCTATTTGAGCGTCCTCCGACACAACTCATCTATCTGCTCTACATTTGACTCCTGCACCACGCCTGCACGAACGCAACTCGGCCTCCTATTGTGTTTACTACACTCCCTAGAAGACGAACCCATTCCGGCCGTGCCCCTACTCGACAGGCGTCTTTGCCTTCACGGATGTGGCGGCGGCGTGCAAGGACGTGGACGTGGCGGTAATGGTAGGAGGCTACCCGCGCAAAGCTGGCGAGGAGCGTAAGGATGTCATGGCCAAAAACGTTTCAATTTACAAGAGCCAAGCTTCGGCCCTGGCGGAAAACGCCTCCAAGGACGTCAAGGTATAAAGCTCCCGTCCCCTCTTGCATCGAACACTTTCCACGTTTGGCATGCGTCGCTGCCGTAATGCCTCGGAAGCTTAGTCAATACAGGACAGAGCTAGGCCGTGACCGTGTCGAGGATCAGGCATCATGCACTTTGAGGACTAAGGCCCATTGGGATCTATAGAGGATGCGGATTGGTATGCATGGGAGCCTTGGGGCTGAGCGCACCCTGCGGCCTGCACCGCAGGCATCATTTCAAGGTGTTGGCAAAGGCTGCAAACCAGCCGTCGATTGTACGGAGAGATGCGAACGTGGTGTTTTAGCCAACCCAAACGGTGCAAGGGGCGGGCCGCGTGCACGGCGGCCCTACCTTGATTGTTACTTTGCTCAAGCTGCACCACCCCTCCGTGGGTGTCCCCGGGCCTTTGGGTCCACCATCCACCTATTCTACTATTTGCATGTTCTACCCTATTTACCTCGCTTTGCTTTGCGTTTTGCGAACATAGGTGGTCGTCGTCGCGAACCCAGCCAACACCAACGCACTGATTCTGGCGGAGAACGCTCCATCGATTCCTCGCGAGAACATTACCTGCCTCACCCGCCTGGACCACAATCGCGCACTGGGTCAGGTAAGAGACGTCCGCATTACCGCGCCTAAATGAGATTGCCTTCCGAATATGCAATGCCCATTTCGCCTGGCTTTTTGGCAGCTCTGGTCGGTAGCTCTCCCGCATGAGTATACACCCTTGGATCAACAGGTGGTCGATTCCCTGCAGCGCTTTTTCCTCGGTCCCTCGCTGCATCGTCGATTCAGGACTGCTTTCTTGCTTTGCGTCACACCATCATCCAAGGTTCCAGCCCCCTGCGCCGCCTGCGTTGTGCCTCTGCCAAGAACGCACCGCCTGCTTAGCCGCGCCTCTCCATCCACTTCGTCGCTGCCAATGCAGGTTTCTGAGCGCACCAAGACGCACGTGACGGCCGTTAAGAACGTCATCATCTGGGGAAACCACTCCTCCACACAGTACCCCGATGTCAACCATGGCATTGTTGCTGGCAAGCCCATCCGCGCAGTCGTGGGCGACGATGCTTGGCTCAACGGCGAGTTCATCTCTACGGTTCAGCAGCGCGGCGCCGCCATCATCAAGGTAAGTGTGTGCCGCCAGTCTTCAACAGCCTGTTGGTATTTGCTGGTTTGCAGCTGGAATCACGAGAGACGGGAGGATCCATGCGGACATCAACGGGTTGGCTTCTGTTGTACTTTCCCCTTGTGCTGTCCCGCTGGGTGGCTCATTAATATTAGCAAGTTACAAGTTACAAGTTCCGCACACAAGTGCGGGTGTGTCCGTAAAAGCCGGGGGGGCCATGGACGTTGTATTGGTATTAATGCGGGTACGTGGGAGGTCATTATTATTGCCTCATATACGTATTGCCTCATACCGGTCATGGGCTCCATCTTCAACGCATTCGCCAAGCCCCGCTCCTCGTCCCTTATCTGCTTCCCAGCCAACCCATGGCAGCCAACGTACTGTGGTGGGTGCCCCAGTCGCAATCCCACTCTAGGCAGCTGGCACCCTCTTCCCAGCCCCGCATCTATCGGCCTGCTGTCCTAATGAGTTGCATTGTACAGGGATCCGCTACAATGTTTGATTCCTGCAGTTGAACTAGTTGAGCTTTACCCCGGCCAATGTGTGATGTGGTGTGATGCAGGCCCGCGGTCTGTCGTCTGCACTGTCCGCCGCCAATGCCGTGTGCAACCACGTGCGAGACTGGGTCTGTGGCACCCCGTACGGCAGTTGGGTGTCTATGGGCGTTGTGTCAGATGGCTCGTACGGCGTGCAACCTGGCCTTGTGTATTCGTACCCGGTCACTTGCTCTGGCGGCAAGTGGCACGTCGTGCAAGGTGAGGTCAGGGTTACGAGGCTGTAGACTGAGCCGAGCTGGACCGAAAGCCACTGCACACTTGAGCTGGGAGCGCACATCAGGGCGTTGCTCAGCGCACACTGCCGCCGCAGTGCTGTACTTGGTACAGATGTATCCGTAATCCCTGCCCTCGTCGGCACTGAGCACCACCCGTAATCTATACTCCATTTGCATCCCAGGCTGACTTTCTACGCAATTTGGCAAACTAACCCTAGTTTACCCCCGATCTCTTCATGATTGTTATGATTATTGCGCAGGTCTACCAATTGACGACGCGTCCAAGGAGCGTATGCGCACCACCGAGGCAGAGCTCGTGGAGGAACGCGACCTGGCGCTGCAATGCCTTGCGGAGAAGAGTGCCGCGGCGCAATAAGCAATAGGCATGTTGACAAACTGGGCCGGTTGGATGGATGACGGCTGATTTGCAGTACACGGCGGAGAGGACGCTTGGACGTCGTAGGGGGGGGCTATAGCTGCGGTGGTGGCTGCAACCGCCGCCCCGCGTTGCTTGGTGGATGGTGATTGCTTGTTAAAGGGGTACAGCGCCACCGTTTGGGCATAGTGGGCTACCGCGGCGCTCTTGCAGAACGGCGTGAACGCGTGAGGTCCGGGCGGTGCTCAGTAGGGAGATGAGGGGGAAGAGACGGGCTTGGTCGTAAGTGAAGCAGGAAGCACTGTCGCTGCATATGGCTGGCACTCTGCCTGGTGGTCATTCTGGGGGTCTGGTGGGAAGAGCGGCAGAGCCTGGCTAAGCAGCGCGGCACAAAGCAGAGCATAGCGTGGCGTGAACATCGGGACTGCCGCAGTGTACGTCTTTGGAAGGCGCAGCCTGAAGCTGAGGGCTGATTGCCTCGGGAAGGGCAGTGCGGGCGGAGTTCCGCAAACGCAGAGAGTGGTATTCTTTGAGGTGAGTGGGCGGGCAAGGTTTGCAGGTGTAACCCTACTGGAGCCAGGCTGCCGGTTTTACGCCCCAGAGACGATGGGCGTCGCCATGGACGTTTGGAGGGGCACAATAAGATCTTGGAGTCGCCTGCTAGTCGCACAGATTTGGAGTTTGTAGAGGGTTTTAGCAGTCGGGTTATAAGGAACAAAAAGGAATGCACGAGGGCATTTAAGGTTAGAGCTGAGCCTGCGACGCCAGGAGAGGGGCTATGCATTTATATGAGCCTTTCAGATGGATGTACGGTATGGGGCCATCGAGAAACGCAGCATCTTTGGCTTTAGTACGCTGCCAAGATAAGTATTGCGCACGAGAGCATCGGTTGACGGTGGGCGGCAATACTCAGATAGCGGGCGGCTGCAGCTCTTGGGAGCTAGGTCAGGAGCTGATATGTTACAACGTCATTAGGAAATCGTCAAGCAGTGTTCTTGATACGGTTGGGAGCATCAAAAGTTATGACGACACTCCTACGGGGTACTTTGCACGTTGGCCGCGAAGAAGCGCCTTTGGATGGCGAGGGCCAAGACTAATCTACTCGTGCAAAGCTGGCTCCCCGTGGGGTGACAGGTGGGTATGAGGTTCTCCAAGCTGGGAAGGAAACGGCACAAGTCCAGCTGCAGACATCACATGCCTGTATGTGGGCTCTCGAAGCAGGCGCGAGCCTGTACTGCTAGTACAAGGCTGTGGCTTGTCGCTTCGCGTTCCTGGAGTTGCGCGGCGCTGGAGTTGTAGCCACTATGGGAATGTAGTGAAAACAGGAATTTTGTATGCGTGGCTAATCATCAGGCAGTTGCGAACCTGCAACTGGGCTGCATCGCCGTACGTAGGCTTCAACCATGCGGTCCTGGATGATCAACATGGGATGGGCTTGCTGTTATTCACAAAGTGAGGTCGGGCTGTCGAATGCATATCATCGTTCCGTAGATGTGCGAAGAAACCAAGGGCATAGAACTTCCAGGCCGCCCCGGACGGCTTCACACGTGGTTCACAAATTAGACAGCAGCATACAAAATGAGACAGCAGCGTAAGCGAAAGCGACACACCAGCGGCGTCTCGGTGCTATTACGTTGTTATAACGAATGGAGTCAGCCGTCCTGTCAAGTCGACTTATACCACGTTGCACCCACGCTGCATCCAAGAACGTGAGCTTTTTGTGAAAGGGTTGCTTCATAACGTAACCATAGGGTGTTCCTTCCAGAATGCAGGGCTGATGCATATGCAGGCCTTGCGCGCTGGCTCTTGTAGGCAGCGGATATGTACCGCAGTGCCTGTAAGTGTTGATACCTCTTGAATTGGATGCGGCGCAAAAAAGACTTGGAAATTATTATTTTGCCGTAATACTGACAACTGGGAAACGTTTGGACATGATTTCGCAAGTGTGTTATGAAGTTGCTGAAAGAATAGGACGAAACCGAACTGGCGCGGTACGGCGGGCACGCACCGCTGCATGCCCGCAGTACCGTGCTAGTTCGGTTTCGTCCTGTTCAAACGGCTTCAGCTTCCAATGGCAATCACACCCTAAATGGATAAGAAGGAAACATGGGGATGAAACATTTCCTCATAACTAGTGTCTCTGCAAAATAATCCCTAAAAATAAAGACGTTGGTTCACTTTCAGTCATGGCTCAGGTGATTTCAGTTCGACTAGGGTAGTCAGCTCCTCCGAAGCGGAAATGGGCTCGGCCCTGGTGCAGCCTGTCACCCCGCAATATTCTGCAGGGAAGGCTGTACGGCACTGGGCTGCAAGGGGAGGAACGGTATGCAAGGGGAGGAACGTGTTTGGACTGCGCGCTCATTATTATGTTACAAGTTACAAATTATTATGGATAGCTGCGAGTGCCGAGGGTGCGGCTGCCGGCGGCGTTGATGTATGGAGAGTGATGTATGAATCTCGTACATACACTTGCTAAGGCGCCAATGCAAATCCATGGACGGTGCATTGCGCGCCGCCTCCATCTCAACAAGAATGGCTGAGCATCTATAGCCTCCTGGTAGTGCGCGAACCCAGCCCATTGCCAGTCCAAATGGAGAATACGACATGTATGAAATGTGCGTGAGACGGAGCAAAAGGCAAGGAGGAAAGTGCTGGAGCAGTTGGCATGGATGGGCTGGAGTTGCGGAGTGTGGCGGAGCTGAGCCATACTATTCCAAAGAAGCCCAAGGAAAGCGCGAGAAAACCGTGCGGCAGCATGAACACGAGCAACGGGCGCCGCAGCGTGCACGCACACCGCAACCCTATGGCATAAAAGGGTCGGTATCCGACCGGTTAGTTATAACCCTACCGGTCGCTTCGGTAGGGTAACCGACATTTTGAGATAACGACTTGGTAACCGATCGGTGCCTTGCAAGTTCATATTGAGACACGACGCTGGCTGACTGACTGACTGACTGACTGACTGACTGACAGCAGTGAGCCTCGGCCCCCCGAGAGGTGCTTCGCGCCCGGAGCCTTCATCAGAAAGCTGCCGTGTGCCGTACAACTACTGGCGATCGCCGAAAAACTGCCTCAGGGAAATTACGGCTGACACAACGTTGGAAGTGACGCTCAATTGTGAATCATCAAAACTTATAGGCACTACGGTACATGTGATTACAGGTGGACCGGCATGGACGCCGCCTAACAACAAATATAATTTGCACAAGTACTTCTTCACTCTAGCATGCGCAGACTTCGGTCAGGTGTCCGCACGCAATGCACACGCGCAACATGTGAAGGACGTCAAGTTAGGCAGCCACCCACATGCCATACGGCTGCATGACTTTTCAATCTTGCAAGACTTGGAAAGACTTTTCCAACGGCAAGTGCACCGCGATCTGTCCCGTCCAAAGTTCCAACGCACACCGTAGACACAGCTCCTAACACCGGGGGGAGCAACACTGTCGAAGCCAGGTAGCACGAGGGAACCCGCCGCATCTATGAGCTACGAGGCGCGCACAGAAGGCGGACGGGCAACCAGGCAAGAAGCAATGGCCAACTGCCAGCGCCAGGCTCGACTGACAAACGTGTCATAATCAATAAACGCATGGCGGGAGTCTCGGAAATACATCCCCAACAGAATGAGATATGAAACTGCGTGAATGGCAGCGCCAGTTACAAGGCGTTACCGTACCAAGTTCGTACAATGTCGTCTATCATGTTAAAATCAGCGCGCCCTTTTAAAGCGCTGGATGGGCGTTTCAATGTGGCGAGCAAAACAAGGCAGACAATTCAGTCGTTTCCAGCCCAGTTCTCGCAAAATATGGAAAGCCAGTAGAATCGAAGCAAAAGAATTGGAACTGCCAAAGCAATCGGTTAGCGTACAGAATGGTGTATTGCACTTAATGTACGAGACCGCTAGCACGACTCCCAAAAGGTCCGCCGCCGTCCATTGTTGCTTAAATTAGGAACCAATCGAAACAAACTCACAGGTTAAAGCACAACAGCACAAAGAATTAGGCCTATAGACAACAGTATCACACTAAGCAACTAAGGCAACCGCGAATTCCCAAGCAATTAGACGGGAGCTCATACAAACCAATGATACAAGAGCCATTGATGGGAGCTTACCTAAAGACTTATGTACCGCCTCTTGTCTTACTTTACAACAGCCTGAATGAAACACATACCACCATTGCAATACCTTCATAATTTTAACTAGCTAAAGCGCGGCATCCTGCCTGCATCATCCTACCCCTGTGTAGACAACGTTCTAGACAAGCAGCGCAATTCCTCCAAGCCGAAGAATGACTGTAAGCCAAAGCCTTACGCTCCTACCGCACAAGCCCGATGCTGCCCAGGAATGACCAGCCTAGACTTCACGCGGATAGCTGCCTGAACGACTCCCGCCAAGAATCCTCAACAACTATGACCAAGGCCGCCAGCGCCATTCGAAGACGTCTCCACATGTATCGCCCTTACCAGGTACAACCTTGACGTCGTGCAACGGAGGGAGGTGCTCCACAGCTCCAGGCCGTTTAGCTCGCCGCGATTTCTTATTTGCGATAAAGCGGTGAACCCAGCCAGATTCGGGCATCGATGCTTCACAACACTTGGTAGCAGCACTGGCGGCAACACTGCCGCCCAGCCTGTCCGAGCCCCGTGCGCCCTCTTTTTACCTCATCCGTACGCACTCATTTTGTCCATCCCATCGCCATAAAAGACCTTTTCCACGCTAGCCTGACGCATCAACCAACCAACCGACTAACCAACCAACCGCCGCGTGGGCAACGAAAGAACAGAGTGCAGCCGGCAGCGGCAGAGACTAACCGCGGGAAGTGGCTTTTCCACCATCGTCATCATAGCTCGCAGCACCCATACCGTCATGTCCGCATGCAGCAGCTTAGAAGGCACGCTCCGAAACCCGCACATGCACAGTTTGATTCAACTTGGGAGGAGCGGAACAGGAACGCCGCTTCCACAACCACCTTCACCAGCGCACATCGACACACACACACACACACACACACACACACACACACACACACACACACACACAAATCACTGCCGACGTCCAACCTAACGCTAAATACGCTAACCGGGCTGGGGAGCCCGCACTGAGGCTGAGGAAACCACACGTCTGTGCATTCGTACATGCAGGCCTCCCGTACAAAACTCTGCTCGAAGTCGTAGATGTAGCACATGGTCCGGTCGAAACCTAAATCCAAGTACGACGATCGACACGATCAACACGATCAAGATGCGCAAGTCAGGAACTTGGGCTAAAACAAGGCAGCACAAGACGACATGACACAGGTCTAACGAAACTGAACGATGGTCGCAAACTCATTACTACTTTGGAAGGGGCAAAGGCAGGGCCCGAAGCAGACACAGGCTGCGAGAAGCAGCGGACGCCTTTTATCTTTTTCTTCTTCCTGCCAACAGGGCGCTCGTCAGTACGGTGAAGGCGAATACCTGCCGGCGCCGCCCGCTATTGTACATGGTTTTACGTGTACGGCATTACACATTCGGTGTCGCACTGGACACCGCCAGCTTTCCAGCCAGCCAAGATTCAGCCAGCCAGCCAGCCACATAGCAAATGACCAACACTACTGAATCTGTAACACACAGCCAAGACCATCTCATTCACACCCAATGCATTTATTCCCATAAGACATTCATATTGTACGGAATCCTGCGGTGTCACAGCCCTTGCTACCTCCACCCGACTTCGGACATTATTTCTTGAGGGACAGTTGGGGGGTAGCCATGCGGTGCGAGCTGGCTGCGTGACGCCGTGAATACGCGAGTGCGCGACGCCGCCGCTGTGCCATACAATTACAAAGCCCAGATGCGACACACCTTTTGCTGACACGCGTAGATGCCAAACGCTCGTTACCGTCTGCGGGCTCCAACCCCACTCGCAACAGTACAACAATTGTCGCACGTCTATGCTGCAATTCCGCCCATTCGTATTACAAACTCTCTCGACCTCGCTCTAGCGCGCTCCACCCACCCGGGGCCGCTCGCAACTCTCCAAGTGCTGCTCGTTATTCCTCATCTTAGTTCAATGATACATGGCGGTTGCAGCTCAGCGGGGCTCGTCCAACCCTCAACCAATTGTATAGCGGGGGGTCGTCCAAGGGATATGTAGGCAATTAGTCCTATGGGTACATTTTTAGCATATACTGTTGGGCATACCACGGAAACCCATCATCACGCCGTACAACAGCATTCTAGCCGGTACGGGTATGCCTTATTTGTGCACCGGGCGACGAATGAGGATCAGCTTCAAGCTGGCGGTCGGCAGCACACGCGCGCAGGGAGGATGTTGGGGGTTGCACCAGGACGGGGGACATGCACCTAAATTTGGGCGTCCGCCAAAGCCTCGTGTGAATGAGACACAAATGCTGACACTGATGTTGCTGCTGCTAAGCCTGCTGCTACTGCTCCAACCATAACAACAAGTCAAAGTTGGGCCCTTACCTAAAGGCAGGCAACGCACTGTCCCAGTAGCGGAGGCGGCACGACACATGGGTCGCAGTTTGAATACTGCCGATTGTCGACGGCGGCGGTGACGGCGGCGGCAGCAGACCTTCTAGCCCCTCAGGCACAGCGCTGCAGGCACATCACGCAACCGGCCCCCTCCGGCCCTCCTTGACTGAATTGCAGTCACGATACCAGGTAGTAGCGTAAGCCGGGAAGGGAGCCGGGAAACATCTACAACCAACAGCTAAACCAGATTGTAATGACGAACCTACAACCATAAGCTTGGAGTTGCCTGTCATGCAGACGCATTCGTCTAGGCTCTGCTGCCATAATTGCAAGGCAACGCACTGCCTTATAGGCACTCCAGCCAAGGACTAGGACCCATTCCGTAAACAGATAGATAGATAGGTAGGTAGGCAAACAAATAGATAGACTGATAGATAGATAGACAGGTACATGGATGGGGTAGATGGACGGATGGACGACTTGCGAAACCGACCATACTCCTCTATTAAGACGCCAGCTGCTAATACCTGATACGTTGCTATTTTGTGTAACGGCCAGGAATGCCCCGTTTTTTATTTGCAGGTAGGTGACCATCATTTAAGTACGGAAATACGGTGACACATGTACGACATGGCAATAGTACGGCTGTTGCTCAACATCCAGTATTGATCCAAGGATGCCGCAGGAGCTCTTGAGCTGTGGGTCGGTCGCCAGGATCATCGCAGAGAGTGGCCAGGATGAAGTCACGGGAAGCCGGGGAGAGAGATGCGGGAAAGTGCAGGGTTCGTGTCGATGCGGCGGTGGCCATGAATTGGCTCACTGCGCTCTGCGGCTGTGCCAAAAGTTGTGCGGCGGCAGCAGTGCCCTGCGGTGGTCCAACCATGGGCGTGAAGCCCACCAGCAGCTCGTACGACAGCACGCCTGCGGCCCACACATCTGCACGGCAAAATATACGGCATGGGTGAAAGAATCCATTAGCCCGTTGGGTGAGGAGGGGCCACAGAGGGCTGTTGTGATGTGAGAGGGAGAACGCACCGCGCTAAGTTACCAAGGTACCCAGGTATCTGCGTCGTCGGGGTAGCTCTGGGAGGCCATCCCCCAATGTGTCAGAGGCTGGGCCCAAGGGAAGCTTATGAAAATAAGTATTACTTTACAATTGAGGTTACATATAAAAGGTTATACATTCTCAATATTTTTTTGAGGTTGATTGTTTTCATTCATCGGTCCGCACGCAGGCCACAGCAGCCCTGCAGGCTTATGTCTCTGTACGTTGCAGTACAAATGAACTCACCCACAGCGGACGTGTAGGCAAGAGATGCGTTGTCTTTGTTCTCCTGAGGCTCGGCTTTTAACGGGCACCGAGAGACCTCGGGCGCCTGCAAAATACATGAAATACGCAGAAAAACACTAGTTCTTCACGCCTACTAGTTGAACACAGCAAAGCTCGCCACGGAGCCCCCCTCCCGGGTCCTATTACTGCTGTCACCATTCTGCTGGTATCATTTGTGTGTCAGTCACTTTTTTAACAAAAAAATTGCAGGCAAACCGTTGCAAACAACATCCGTATTTTCTCTCTCGCGCGCGAACGCGTCCCATGTGCAGGGAGGTTGTACTGATACGACGTTACGCAAAAAGCTGCAGTAAGGCTGGGTGACGACAAGGGTGACAGCATTTGGCATGCATAGTTAAGTCCGCCACTGTGTTTGATAATCAATCGCTACTCCATTAGCGCGCATTGGCCTCCATGGCGTTTCCGATCCCAGAGCCCAGGACGCGCATATCTCACCATGTAATCGACCGTTCCTGCTCGCGTCACAGCGCGCTCCTCGTTTAGGTTAATAGAGACGCCGAAGTCGGCGATCTTCAAAACCCAGTTGTCGTTGTAAAGAATATTTTCCGGCTGGGGTTTGCAGACGAGGATTCCGAAAACAGATCCGGACAGGACATTTTACCAACAAAAGAAAAGAATGATCAGTTTTCGGTATTTTGCTGCAAGGAGCAAAACATAGCAGCCATCGCACAAATTGGAAATAGTTTATTCTGAATCTGCCTCCTTGAAAGAGAGCAGCGCTGCAGCATTGTTGCCACACTGCATCTAAACGTATTCCAAGGGCACGGCGACAAGCGCGATAACAGTAAAACAGCTTCCAACCGACTGCGCCAAAAAATATTCTTTCACCAACTTACGAAAGGATAGGATAGCGATTACTCAAGAGAACCTAGGGTTCAGCGAGCTATGGATTTTGACATGTGCTGCAGCTTCGTGCTCTATCACTTAGACGCCCCGAGGGCTACTCGCAAATAAACACAAAAGACAGTACCAACCTTGATATCACGATGGCAGATGCCTTGGCTGTGGAGATAGACCAGCGCCTCAAGGAACGGGCGCATCACCAGCTCCGAAACCTGCACCAGGACACGCACAACATCAAGAAATACGGCATGCCAACATACCGAACACCTAGCTCGCACATAATGTAACCTCCTGTCTACCAGCATACCGGTTCCGAACTCTGAGCATCCCTTAACCGACAAATATATTATTTTATAAATGCAGGATCGCTGACACAACCAGCACAACTGCCCATGATCCATTATATGTAAGTTGGCAAAACTCTCTCTGTCCGGCATTCGGATCCAACTGAGCCGGTTCAACAGCTCCCGACACCACATATACAGGCATGTACGCCTGCGCTTAGCACACATACATACCTGCGCACCGTGACTCAGTAACTAGTTCAAGCACTACTGGTAACGCATGCACCAATCCCCCCGGAGGTTCCGGGATCGAGACCTGTCAGGGTCGAAAGTCCTTCCGATGGTGGAAGGTAAAAGTGCCCCTAATCGATGGACGATGGTGGACTGGGATAAAGTAGGCCTGAGAGCTGACCACGAATAGAGATGAGCCGCCGTTGATCCGGCAGATTCCGTTGGATGCCGGTGGTGGGTGCTAAACCTGAGGGATCCCCTGAGAAGTTGACTAGGGTGACTGGATGATGCTGCCCGCAAATACCGGGGAAGGCAGGGTTTCCCCCGGTAAGGACCACGGGTGAAGTTATGGCCCCTTGTGTCACAAATCATACATACATGCGCACGCACCTGCGCCTCGGTCATGCGGCCACCCAGTTGCCGGAGAAGATGAAACAGGTCGCCACGAGCAGCGTACTCCTGCACCAGCACGATCCGGTCACCCTCCAAGAAGGCAGCGTAGAGCCGAATCACGTTAGGGTGGACCAGTTGATGGTGCAGCTCAATCTCACGCTGCAGCAGCAGTAACAACGACAATAGTGGCAGCAGCAGTGAAGTTATAGCGTCTTTAATCCATATATAGGAGAGGTCCTCCATAATTAAGAATTGTATCTTTGTCAATTCCAATAGCATTATCAAGAGAAGCTCCTTTAATAATAGCAGCAATGGCAGTAGCGGAGGAGCAGTGGAGCAGTTGCATTACGCAAGGCAGCATCGGCGCAGCTACGGTCAAAGTTTTAGACAAATGTTAAAAAGCGAGGAGGAGGAGGAAGCGCAGCCGGGTCTTTTGCACCTTAGCTGCAGACACCGTATTCAGACTGCATGCAACACTGGTATGTAGCGCTGTGTGGTGCACTTGTCGTACTGACAGTGTACGGCAGCTATGCAGTATAGCAGGATAACTGCCGTCGCGGCCATTACGAAACAGGTGTCCTAAATAAGCCGCATGGGAGGCGTTTGCTCCCACCTAACCGACCACCGACCACTGGGCCCCCCTCTCTCGATCCCGCCGCGTACACACATCAGCCTTCCCCACCCCGTCCCGCTTTTTGCTTTACAACGCCAAACCTGTCCTGGTCCCATCTAACAACACACCTTGATCATGTGCAGGACGTTCCGAGGCACCTTGGCCAAGAAATAGACCTTCAGTGCCACTGGCATACCCGACCTCAAGCACGTTGCCTGCGGACGGCGGCGAGGTCCAGTGAGCGACATGAATCATATAGCCACAAAGAACTTACAAGGATTCGTTCATGGAGTTCTGACAATCCTCTATTTTGGCAATACAATACAAATTGTATTTCGGTCATGCATTATAATAAATAATACAAATACCTGGCAACGGCCTAGAGGACCTGAAAGCCATAGCAGCCTAGACGCCAACGCTCCCTGCTGATTAGGAGGGTGTGTGTGTATGTGTGTATGTGTGTATGTGTGTGTATGTGTGTATGTGTGTGTGTATGTGTGTGTATGTGTGTATGTGTGTGTAGCGGTAGCTGGTCGACTGCCTGGCCACTGTCCCGTTTACTTGCTACCCAGTCCTCTTAAGATCACTTGCAGCTTCCCCTTCGCCATGGTGAGAGGTGCACCTTAACACTCAGTTCAGAGCCGGCTATGTTTACCTGCTCGGGCGGTAGTCGGCGGCTGTATCCTTAAGCATTCCAGGCTCTTACATTAATATGCAGAAAAATTCTACCAATTTACTGAAGAGCCTGTTATTGTAAAGTTACGATTGACATTCCTCACTGAGGCATCAAGATCTGCAGCCTTTGCGGCCCAGTTCGTTAGAACCACACCCTGTTCAGATGTGAAACCGTGTGCGTGGCTATGCGCCCGTGCTGGCGCTTCATGGACCCATGGTTCTGCCGTCCCTTGTCATTCTGCCCCCCCTTTCCGTTCGTTGCCAGCAACCGGCTTGTGGCGCCCTTCCTGAGCTGCCGAGCTGCATGTCCGTGTGCTGAAGCAGAGCGCATTTCGTACATTCGTACGTCGGTCAAGTCAACTGTGTTTCCGGGAGCCCGCATGGATAACGAATACAACTTCGCCTCCCCTTGGCTCATTGCCCATTCAAGAACACGCGGGCCTCCTGCGCTTGCACGAGCTTTCCAGCCTTACTGGACCGCATTGCAAAGATGTCAGCATCCCATCTTCAAGACGAGATAAAACGCACAAGCCGGGCCAAGATGTGGCGCATGATGTGGATACCTTATCTGCGTCTGCTGGTGTATGAGTGGTTTGTGCATTCCTCTGCATAACCCGTCTTCCTCTTTTCCCTCCAGCCCCCCCCCCCCAAGTAGCGCAGGTGACACTTGAGCGCTCTCCTACCTTGTACACACTGCCCAGCAGTTGGAGTACCCGGCGGGCGCATGTGTGCATGTGCGTCCAGTCGACCACGAATGCATCACGACGTACGAACGAACAGGTGCGGTGATGAGCAGTTGTCGGTTAGCAGTTGACCAGGGCAGCCGGAAGGGAGCAGCACAGCACATCGTCAGCACAGCAAGCGGAGGGGCAGTAGTATTGCGACGCACGGCACAAATCGTTGAGGATCAGGACACAAATCCTTGTCGAGGAGAATACAAGTGCCGTGCGGATGGAGATCCTGGAACGACCGCAAACGCGTGTGAGCAGCTACAGGACTGTAGGTCATTGTAGGCGCTCGGAACTCCTGTGTGTATCAAGCAAGTCTGTGTGTAGCAAGCAAATCGCCCTTCCCCTCCACTTGGAGATCCATGGCAGCACAGCCGCATCACAGAAGCACACCTACCCGAGGGCTGTTTTCCTTACCCCTCGGGACAGGTAACTTCAATCACATCGGGTGAGGTTCACACAAGCCGCTAGGGTGCGTCGATGGCCCAATGTATTTCGTGGAAAGTCAACATCAGAGGTTACTGTCCTGACCGCATGGCTAGCTTCAATTCTAGACCTTAAGCAGCATTTTTTGCTGCACTTGCAGTTTAATTTAATACAATCTGATAAGACTATGCGATGATGATACTATGATACTATGATGATACTAGCTGGGTTGGGGAATAAAAAATGGAAATTTTAAAGAGTTGTGCAGAAAAGTTACGAAAGCAAATAAAGCGAGGAGGAATGGTACGCACCTCGCAGTGCTTCCTTTGTAGATGCGCTTCACTACTTGATAGTCCTCCAAGCACCAAGTCCGTCGTCGCATCGCGCCGGGAACCGTAGGATTGAGTGCCAGCAACGTAGTGCTAGGGGAAGGTTGGCAGGCTTCAGGTACTGCTGCGGCAATGGCGGGCTGCGACGACTGCGGCGGCTGCTGCGCGGCGACGACAGTGACGCGAGGCGCAGGCTCGTCGCAGGGCAGCGAGGTTGCCGTCGCTGCCACTGCCGAGACTGCAATCGGCATCGCTGCCTCTTGCGCGTCTAGCCGGCCCAGGCCACTGCCACAGGCGCTGTTGTATGGGCAAGGAACTATTACAGGGCTGGATTGCTGCTTATTTATGGGCCCCCGAATGGTTGGTGAGGAGATGGAAGTGGCCGGTGTGCCAGTGCTCATGACATTGCAGCGGAGTGAAGGAATGTCGCTTGAGGCAGAGAAGCTCAGCTGTTGTCCAGAATTGCGCTTGAAAATTGATCGCCCAGCGATTGGGAAGGGTGAAGAGGGCGAGTGGGGCTCGATGGGCGGGCTCCCGGCACCGCCCGATCGCACTGAGGAAGCCAAGCGGTGGTTCTGACCTAATTCCATATAAGATGGTGATGGGCTTGCAGATATGGAAATGGGCGCCGCGCAAGGGAAGTCTGGTGTTGAAAGTGCGTGAGCGAGCCCATTGTGCTGGGAAGGGTCGCTGTCAGGTCGCACTTCTGCGGCACCTGTGCTGACAGATGAATTTCCGGTTAAGAGCGTCCCGAGACGCTTTAGGCTCTTAAGCAGACCGCTCCGCTTTTTTAGGTTGGGGCTCCCGCATGTTGGCGCCAGAGTGCCATCCGAGCAGATCACATCCATGACGTCAGAGCTCTTGATGTTAATGTGAGAAGACGATCCAAACCTACTAAGGGTTTGCGTCGGTCCTAACCCAAGCATTGTAATTGCCTCTGACCCGAATGGGGGACCAATGGGGCTTCCACCAAGGGCCAGCAAGGGCCCGAGTTTCCCTGCACTGCAGTTTAAAACAGTGAATTCAACAAGATGCCAATGGTATGAGGAGTGCCTGGCGCCAACTCGGCGTCGTAGCGCGTGGCCTCAGCAAGTTTCGGCTCAGGCCCACAAGGGGTCATCAGCAAGCAGAAGTTCTCAGCGCCAACATAGATACTTTATTCAGTTACCTTTCTGTTGATTCTTTACAGATGCTTTCAAATGTGCTTTCGCGGTTCACGAGACCTAAGAGATGCAGGGGATATCCCCAGCCCTGTTGAAAACAGCACTAATCAATGCCTGGATCACCTAAGACGAGTTGTCAGAGAACCTCCTTTGAGAGCAGACATGAGAAACCCCAGAGGCGTCTTTACGTACGTTTCTCGTAAGGGCCGAGCGTTCTTTGGGACAGCTGCTTGACATCAATTAGCTGAAATTTTGTTTAGTAAATAATGAATTTTATAAGCCGTAAGGTCCTGTGTATCGAAAATTTACAGTCCGACTTATTAGGGCTACTGTACGTACTCTTCGAGACGCGGCACCGAAGATAATCAAAAACTACCTCTTGTTAATTTCAACTTAACATTATATAATATAATTTGTGTGATAAATTGATAATACTGCTGCCCTGAGCCCCCAAGACACCGCTTCAATGGTTCCACATTGTAACCCAACATTACGAGCACGGTGCTATGCTCTGCAGCAAACAACCTATTAAAATAAATACTACAGATTGCTCTTACTCCTTACTCCATTTTAATCTTAGCACGAGATCCTCCGATACGTGTTGAGGTCATCCGTTCATGGGCATGCTGCTTTTTGTAGAGACTGTAGACAGCTACTTTCCAGGAGTGCCAGCCTCCTCACTTGGACTATGCATGGGAGGTGCAATGCAGTAGATAGGCACGACGGTCACGTGAGGGACGATTTAAGCTTTCGAGCGCTAATTTTTAGTTGATGCCCAGAAATCATGGAGCAAGTTCTTCGATTTTCCCAATTTAATCTGACACCTTATTGAATCCTTACTACAGGTACGGAGGCCCGTCCACGGGGTTGGGCGTGTAAGGTGTAACTGCGTTCAGCTGCTTCTATTCGTCCGCCACGACAAAGAATTTACATCTCTAAAGCGATTTTAGTCGGTATCCGGTGCGTGGCGAGGTTGTCGTCTTCTTTCCTGTCAGTGGTTTAGCGCCCGACAGCCGATAAGGACCCACAGGCGCCAAGTGAATAATTTCGCGACCGCATAACCTTAGTCCTCAATTGGGACCAATTCATGGCCGTGTGTGACATGGCAGATGCTTGCAGGGTTGGGCAAATACCAGCATAGCCCTAAATCAAGTACGGCAGTATATGCCGGGCTTTACCAAGCGACAGGACTCGACAGGCCGGAAATAGGCTTCGGCGTAAATAGAAGTACCTTATGAGACTTGCCAAGGCATGAAACAAAGGCTGGACAGGGCCAGGGCTTGATGCTACTCCGCCATAGGGGACAGCCCGCGCTGTGATAGGGTGCAAGTGCTCGGGGAACTAGAAAACCTGAGGGAGCAGGGACTTGGCAGCAATATCTTCAGTATTTCAAGCTTGGGAGTTGACTCCAGATGCTACAGTCGAGCCGGTGTCAATAATAACCCGAAAAGGGTTTCCTGATATCTTGCGCGAGCCTTTGCGCTGCGCTTTGGAATGGGCCGTCCCCAAAAGGCACGAATACAAACATTTCAACAAAAAAAACCTTCCTGCAAAAAGAACAGGACACCGATGCTGACCATCGTTGCCGAACCGAAGCGTATACGCCGGAGCTTCGGTACGCTCGATCGAACCGTCGGCATGTTTCGCCCCGGGCGCCGCTTATATAAAGTGCACCGACGCGTGGCAATGTCGAAAGGATCGATGCCATAGATGTTACATTTGCCGGGCAACAAGCTTGGCCGCGCGCATGCCTAGGTCACATACACATGAACACAAGCACATTCGGTTTTACTTGCATACGCACGTACGCTTTCCTTCTTGTCGACGTGTGCATCCAGAACTTGCACGCATGTGTCGTACAACCCATGCATGACTGCCTTCCAATACCCAAGCGTCCCTACCACTACTACCCAATGGATAATCAGTGGTGGTGGCTGACGCAGTCTAATCTGCAAAAAGAGGCCACTTCTCGGACGAAATAAGTAGCAATAGATAGCTAAACTGTGGCAAAAATGGCTCTTGACGAAGGTTGGCGCCCAAGCGCTTGACGAAGGTTCGCGCCCAAGCGCTTGACGAAGGTTCGCGCCCAAGCGCTTGACGACAATGTTACCAGCGGTTAGCACCTTACCAGTAGCTTTTCCATCCACTTTCGGTAACATTTACAACTGCAGATTCATGGTGCCTATCTAGTCTAGTCCCATAAGCCCGTGGAGTCCCAAGTCTCTCCGCGTGGGGATGAGATCCCGCTAATTTCCGCTCTTTCCCCCCTCCAATGGTAATAAAAGGTGTTGCCCGGGCACAAACTGGAGTCCACACCAAACCACCATAAAGTTGCTGCCAGATTTGCAAGTTTGGCGCGGAGCAGCAGGTTTCGGCGTGGAACGTTGTTAGTTGCCAATGCAGTCCCGTAACCTAACTGTCGGTTGTAGAGCTATACCAAAGGCGGAATGTATGTATGTATGTATGCACCGGACTAAGGGCGAGAATCCACCACGAAAACGTAAATCCCTTCGGACATGTATCGCTCAGTGCAGTGCACGACAGTCTGTTGTGGTCCGATGGCCTTACCCAGGGGTATTCCCTTGGGGCCTGGGGCTCGCGGTAAGTAATACCTACTATTTCCCTGTTGTTCTTCCATGAAATGCGCGCTGACGCCCTTTGACTGTGAAGGTACTAAGCTGCGAAAGTGTCCTCCGGGTTGTGCCGTGTTTCGAGCGCCATGCCGCCCTAATCGAACGAACGAGCCGTATACCAAGCAAGTCATTCAACCATCCCCCCACTCCAATGGCTTCCATGGCAGTACGACAAACAAAGCTGAGCCTGCTGGTTGAGTGATTTGGTGAATTATTTACGCCGGTCGCAGCGTTCACAGGAGCTGAGCGTTGATCGATTAGGGTGGGTCCATGTCCCAGAAGCTTCTAGATGCGTGCGTCTGGCTCCAATGACGGTGTGTCCGCACAGGTATCCCTTGCAATCCCTGGATCTGTCGGCCAACGGAACCCTACGGAAACAGAGGAGAAACCCTTGTCGAAAGTCGGTCCGGATGGAGAACTGCGCCCAAATGGGCAAGAATGAGGTGGATTGGATGATGGGATATACCTTCGTTACGCTGCAACCCAGAGGATCATCATTCCATTAACGGATAAGTTGGGCCCCACTCGTGCTGCGTCCTCGCCAGCTACCCGCACTTTATCGTTGGCAACCTTGTTTCACGCGCTTCCGAACTTCCCTTTTTCCAGGGACAGATTTAAAACAAGGAGAGTTACCTTATCCAAGGACAGGAAAACAAGCCGTAATCTATGCGAAACCGTCTGCCCGCTTGCCTCATCAGGCCTGTACCGCAGAGAGCAAGCGCTATCCCTCAATAGTGTCGCACTGGCAAAGGATGTGGTGTCAACATGATTGTGATAGCGACTGATGTAAAAGAGGAACTGGTTTGTTTTTTTCCCTGATAGGTTGCCGATTTGCAGATGCCGCCGTGGCCCTCCGCGGCTGCCTGTCCTCCCCGCAGCTACGTATTCACCCGGGCCAACTCGCCTCGCGTTGACTCGATCCGCAGCATGCAGTTAGATTGACCGCTAGATAACTCGGCGAATCGTTGTACTTGTGCGTTCGGTGTGGAAACATGCGCTGTTGCAGGAGGGCACGAGTGCTATGAAGCTTCTGTGAAGCAGCGTTTACGTACAGCTGCCAGCTCATCAGGCTCCCACTTCATCCAGGCTGTGGGCATGCAATGCACCCTAAGTACGTTATGAACCAGGGTTGGCAAACTCCCTCGCCTTCACGACGCTTCAAAGACTCCTTAAATGGCCCACTCCGCACGACAAGACCGAATAAGATATCCGGGGTGCAGACCGGCCCACAAGGAGTGGAGGGCGCCACAGCGGCAAGTTCCTAAGTAGTCAGCAACGCGTTGCCGTGCTGGGTGAGCCTGAAGGTCATGGTGACCTATGGCAGAGAGGGTTTGGCATCCATGTGGAATCTCCGGCAGTTCTGGGGACCATGTACACCTGTGGTTTCGGATCCGCACAGGAGGCAAGGGGGCGGCATCGTGCCCGGAGGCCTGGCTGCAGCTGGGGGGTTGGCCGCGATGGGGCCTGCTGCTACGTCTGCGGCTTGTCCTCGTGCATTCGCGGATGATGTCTGCGACGTGCAGGCCCGCTGCTGAGTTGCCGCACACATGGACATACGCCCAGCAGTTGATGCAGCGATATTGCATTGGGGCAGCTGCTGGCGCTGCTGGCGCTGCTGGCGCTGCTGGCGCTGCTGGCGCTGCTGGCGCTGCTGCTATGGCAGCGGGGGTAGGTTTGTGCCTGCTTGTGCAGGCTGCTGTGGTGGTAACCCGGTGGCTGCGGTGCATGCTGGTGCTGAGCCCCGAACCCGCGATCGATGTCACTGAGAAAGGTTGGCCAAGACGTTTATACGCGCCTCGCCCGCAGATGTCGGGTCACCGGGGCTTCCCAGGTAAGGACTCAGCAGCCCGCAGCGCCAGGGTCCCCTCAGGCAGTGTTTTTAAAAGTGGTTACTAGTGACCAAGTGGTTACTGAGAAAATAATTCCCTTCCAGGAGGTGGTCACTAGGAAATGTTTAGAGTCACCTGGCAGTGACCAGGTGGTCGCCAGGAAATTGGGCCACACAGCCCCGGTAGTAGTGACCACCTAAAATTTGTTTTGACGCTTGGATGGGAGCAGTGATGCTTCACTGAGCTCGGCTCGGGAACACGTTGCCGTACATAAGAGTCAAAGGTAATGAAAGCTTTGTTCAGACGGCTTGTTCAATATAATTTCTTCAATACTCTATGGACTAGCAATGACTTAATACTTGAAAGTGAGCCCAAACACGGTTGTAAGGAAATGAAATTGGGTTTTCGGATGCATGGTTTTAGTGGGCTTGTGTTCAGCACACTTGCTGGGGAAAAAATTCTTGTAAGGTGGTTATCAAGGAAACCCCCCACAGTAACCACTTGGTCACCAAAAAATACCACGGTGAAAAACCTGTCCCCAGGCGGGGGTGCCGACAACGGCTATGGCAAGACCATCGCGTTGGCACCCCTCGGGGGAACCCTGCCGCGTACGAACCACCATGTTGGCAACCCTGTCTGCGACCCTGGGGGTGTGTACCGTAACTAGAACGCGATGGTGTGTGAAGGACCGTGGCATGGTTCCATTCATGCTACTGCAGCTTTCTCCTCGTCTCCTGTCGTCAGTACGACATCAGCAAACTCTGTGAACCAGGAGGCTTGTAAAGGGCCCAACGAACCAGGGGCCCCGGGTTAGGGGTTGGGAGGAGCTGGGGACGTGGTTAAGTTGGGTAAGATGCATAACACGATGCCGTATAACGGTCAGATTGAAGTCAGCACAACTGCCGACCTAGCTTCAGCAGCTGTGAATGCTACTGTCCGCAGCAGCAGTGGATGTCGCGGCGATGCAGGGCCAAGAAAGGCATGATGACATGACAGCCATGGCGCCTAAGAAACGGGCAGGAAATAGGCTTAATCGCACGGGGCCGGGCGGCAGGCTGGGGCGGTGAGAGGGTGGCAGGTTGGGACTTGTAGCGAAAGCCCCTTCCCACGGTGCAGCGATGCGCGGGGTTTGTGGGACGCGGCGCCGAGTGGCGGTCAAGGTGTGCTCAGGATGGAGATAGTGATTAATCGCAAGCAAAAGGGAAGCAGAATGAAGGTTGAGGATAGAGTGCCTCGCTGGTAATGTAGCCGGTGGCAGCGGAGGATAGGGTTATTGCTGCAGGGCGCCCAGTCAAGGACCGAACATTTAATGCTTTTTGCTGCCATTTTCGATTTCCTTCACAAAATATATGCAAAGTGATTTATTATGCCCATGGATTATCAAGAACTTTGCCTTAGAGGAGAATTAAGCGTCAGACGTGATCCTGTATGTACGAGTTGTGAGGAGTCAATATGCCAATACCCTGTCTACGCTATAGTGAGTAGGTGATTACATTGGGTGGCAACAACTTGGCCAGAAACCTGAGCACAGTTGTATTGAAACAAGGCAGTTCAGCTTCAGGCCTACGGTAGTCTGCGCTACAGGGAAAAGTCCACTTGGAAGGCCTGCGTTGTTAGCAGCCACGGAACCTTGCATATATCTTGTACTCTGCACCACATTACTCTGTAACGGCTGCCCGAAAGCGGCTGTTCTAGTAGTCGCAAGTTCACGACAGGATCGTGTTGGGTTCAGACTAACGCGCTCTGCAAAGAGGTCTCCTTCTTACGAAAGCAGCCCATGAAACGCAAGGCCGACAACCCAGACTTCGGGCCTCCTGGAGGCGGACGTGGCGGCCGGGGCAGAGGGTAAACGATCTTTTAGCGCTTTTGAAGGGCTGTTGCTTTCAAACTGGAAAACTGTAACATTTATTACTAGAGGACCCATAATGCTTTCCTTGTTCATGCAGACCTCCTCGTTATGGGCACGGCCCAGGCTTCGGCGGCCCGGCCCCCCCTCGCGGTCCATTTGAGCCCGACATGATGCATGGTACGCCAATCAGGCTGGACACAAAAAAATGTCATTGAAGCGCTAAGTTAGAAGCAAGTACTGCTGGCTTGATGGAATCAACGCCGTCTCCTGTTTTTTGAAGGACATCTCACGGAAGTATCGTAAATGGTTGGCCTTGCCATCATGCGTAAAAGGCTCAGAGGGCTAGGAGTCTTCATGCCGATTCCTGGCTCATTTCTTTCCCGGTCGGCGTCAGCACTTTTGAAAGTTGCATTCTCCTCACCTTGCTGCACAGGCCCTCCCCCACGCGGCATGCTCCCACCAGGCCCAGGAGGGCCAGCCCCTCCAGCAGCGGTGGGCCCGCTTCCAGATGAGCCAATCATGCTGCAGGAGGTGGTGCTAAGTAAGCGTCTCGCAGGCGTGCTGATCGGTACCGGCGGCAGCAACGTATCTCTTGTAGGTATTTATGCTGGATATCGTCTATTGTCCAGCATCGTCTGTTGAGTATCGCTAGATGCCTCGCGGGTCCAAGTTGCATTGGGTAGGGGGAAAATGGGGGAATTGGTGATCCCTTCCCAGGGTTCTCTGATGGGTCGCTACGGAATGGCATTCTGGCATGCACGCCGCGTCGATACATTTGCACAGTACGCGAGCCGCGCTTGCTTAGCAGCATCACAAATCTGGATCCCCCCCATTCCATGGCACATTGCAGGTTCGCCGCGAGTCTCGCTGCAAGGTGCACGTGTCAGAGGTCCGCGGGCCGGAACAGACGCAGACCGTTGAGTTAACCGGCACGGAGAAGCAGGTGCGCCCCATGGCTAAAGCAGGCCATCATCGCGTCCGTGACCATAAGCGCTGCATCCCGGTTTCTATTGATGCCATGATTTTGATAGTCTCCCATCCATTGATTTTCTGATGGCTGGGAATGAAACCAAATTCACTATACAAGTTACGGGTCCTGTGCTTTCCGCAACTTGGTCGGGCGTTTGGTCGGGCGTTTGATGGAGCTTTCTGTTACCTCTATCCCGGTGCCTTATTCGTATGAGGCCTTATAATATCCGGCCCCGATTCAGTTACCTGCATTTGGTGCGTGCAGATTTCCAATGCGGTTGCCTCCATCAGACGCATTTTGACCGAGTTTGACCCAGAGCATAAGGTGGATATCAAGCCCACTGTGGAAACCACGGTTGAGATTTACCCCGAAATGGTCGGCAGCGTGTTGGGCAAGGCCGGCGCCACGATTAAGGTCATCCGACAGAAGTCCGGAGCCCACGTTCGTGTAGAAGGTGAGTGCAAAAGGGGTAACGAGGTGCGAGGCTGTGTTTGTATGTGTGTTAAAAGGGATGTTTGCTGAGTTACGGGCGTCGTGTAGATGGCATCTGTATATGCATATGTACCAATCGTTGCCGAGATGTTGATAATTATCGGCGGTTCCTTGCGGGGCATTATCAACCTTGCGGGGCCTGGTTTGCTTTGGGTACAGTTCCTCAAGCGCTGCTATCTTCACTGACCTTCTACTCTATCGCTGCGATTTGAGTCATGATTTGCTTTCAGACCCACGAGCCACGAGGGGGTTCCGACGAGGTCTCGATTAGAAACGTAGGAGTGGTATGTGTCCTTGCGTTCACTCGCAGATCTGCAGCCAGGAGAGCGCATGCAATTGGTGATGATTCACGGCAGCATTGAGCAAGTCAAAACGGCATACGCGGAGGTGAGCGGATGACTTCCCGGGGTTGGGATGCGGGTTGCCAGAGGTGGCTTAACTCCAAGAAGGTTTAGTTGCAGGAGTACTTTGCAGCCTCATAGATCCAGCTGCCGGTGATGCCCGGTTGGCTATTATATGGGCCTATAGTACGCTAAACCTCCCCCGTAAATTATTGCATGCATTGCCACGGCAGGTCAAGGGCATCATTGATCGCTTTGATCCTGCCAAGGTCAAGGGGGGTTTCGCCGCACCTATGATGCCGCCGCCGCGCAGCATGATGCCACCACCGGGTCCCGCCGGTCCCGGTGGACGGTACGGGCCCCCTGGACCTGAGGACAGGTACGGTCCCCCAGGACCCGACCCACGCGGTCGCGGCCCTCCCGCGCCCGAATGGTACGACGATGGCTACGAGTACCCACCTAACGATGGCCCATACGGTCCCATGGGTCGTATGGATGGTGCCCGTGCTCCCGGTCCTCGAGGTGCTGGGGGTCCTTACGGCCCGATGCGGGGCAGTCCGCCGCCCGGAGCTGGCGGCCGGTACGGGGCGACAGGGCCCGACATGGGTCCTGGTGGACCTCGGGGCCCTGGCTTTGGCGGCGGCGCCGAGGGACCGTACCGGGGCCCTAATGGTGGTCCTGAGCCTTACGGGAGTGGCCCCGTGGGCGACCCGCGCATGGGCCCTGGCGGCAGCGGTGAGTGAACACGGTGTGCACGGTGCGGCCTAGCCAACGTTGTTAGTGTTTGTGGAGTAATCAGCTGCATGTTATGTTGCGAAACTGTAGTTACAGCTGTACAGGTTTGTCTGCACACCCTCTGTCTTGCCGTATGATTCTTTCGCATTATGTCACTTGTTGATACGTTCCGTACCCGCTGTGTGGGCCCCCACCTGCCGTCCATGGTATCATACACTGAAATGAGTGTTTCCTGCTCGTGTTGTTTGCGCAGGTGGTCCACCGCAGCCGCAGCCCGCACCAGCACAGCCAGTGTACCAGCCGGCGGCGCAGACGTATGTGCAGCCGCAACCGGCACCGGCGCAGCCTCAACCGCAGGCAGCACAGACGGCCGCGGCAGTGCAGACAGGCGCGCAGCAGCAGGTTGGTCCCGTGGTCCTGATGCTGCAGCCCGATGGCACTTACAAGCCGGCGCAGGTGGTGCTGTACAATATGTCTGCGGCGCAGACTGGACAGATGCCGGCGGCCCAGGCGGTGCAGGCGCAGCAGCAGGCAGCGCAGCCGGCGGTGCAGCAGGTCACGATTCCGGCACAGGCTGCGACGACGCAGGCGCAGACGGTTTCCGTAGCACAGCCGGTGGCGGCCGCAACCGCAAGCGCGCCGACAGGACAGGTAAGGTTGACGATATCCATTGGGGCTTATTGGTTTGGTTGGTTAGTGGCCGCGAGGAGTTCGTTTGCACGTGCGATAGGGAAACACCTCGAGTGTTAGGCCACTGAACGAGTGAACACGACCAACTGTGATTGAATGGGCCATGTATACAACTGATGCCGTAATCTGATGTTGCCGTAGTGCACTTTTGAGGAATGCGGATGGCGGTGTTCGTGTGTTCGGCTCGCTGCAGGTGGTGTACAGCACTAACGGCGCCGTCTTTGACGCCGGGACCCTGAACCAGCTGTCGTCGTCCATCACAGCCTACTCTCAGCATACGGCGCAGCACCCGCAGCACGATTCACAGACCGCCGTCGGCGGTGCCACAGGTGCTCCAGCTGCGGCCAACCCACAGGCACAAGCGACGTCTGCAGCCGCGCCCGCAGCCACAGCTACGGCGCCTGTGACCTATGGTGTGTACGGTGCTCAGCAAGCCGCACAACCGCAACAGCAGCAACAGGCTGTTCCGCAGCAGCAAGCCCAGGCGCCGGCCCAGGCGCAGCAGGCCGCAGCGGTGACGGCGGCGACGGCGGCGTATGGTGCGTATGGCCAGACCATGGCGTCAACTTCACTGTACCCGGGCATGGTGGGTGTTCCCGGGGGCTACACGATGACTCAGGAGCAAATGCAGGCTTACATGAGGGGCCAGTTTGCAACGCAGCAGCAACAAGCCGTACACCAGTCGTACAACCCATACGCGTATCCGTACATGTATGCTCAGGCGCAGCAAACCCAGCAGAAGCCAGGGCAAGTTGAGGCGACGCCAGGTGCGACAGCGCAGGGCGCGGCCACTCAGGCGGGTCAGCAGACGGTTCAGCAGCCAGTGAAGACCGAGCAAGGCCAGGGCCAGCAAACGACCGTCCAGCCTAGTCATGCGCAGGGCCAGCTCCCACAATACTCGTACCAGTACAACACGGGCGCGTAGGTGAGAGTTATTGTAGCGCAGAATAGCTGGCATTCTGTGGAGGCCAGGTCAGGACAACCTAAAATATGGTTGTGGTTCGACGGTGGAGCAAAGACCCAGCGGTTGCGGACAACACCGCAGCAGCCGTTGAAGCAAAGCAACGGGAACATGAAGCGGCGCATGGTTTGGTAGTCGCAAGCTTCAGCTACGACCGAAGGGGCAATGCAGGAGGGTGCCACAGCGATTGCCGCTCGTAGCGCACCTTTTGAGGGAAAGCCAGTGTATGCGAACGAGGGGGACATGACCTCGGGACTAATTTCAGATTTGACGGGATGAGCAAGAGGTTACTTAAGCCAGCCAAGAAGCACACGGCGTGCAGCTCATCAGGCGCGAAAGTTATTGTGTTGCGGAATGCGAGGTACTGGCTTGGCTAAAAGCATGCCTTTGGCTTTGCAGAAGGCGCGGTTAAGAACACGCGAAAGATTATGAGTGCGACAAGGGAGTGATGTAGTGCGGAAGAGGTTTCCATGAGCTGATGCAGCTCGCGCTCTCTGCTGCGGCCAAGCCATTATTTGCGTTCATACCTTACCCCTCCGTTTGAACGTGTCCGTGTAAGAAACGACTTTTAAGCTGTTTGCTTTTTCGTTAAGGAAAACGGCTTAGCAAGGCTGACCCCTCTTGAAACCTTCAGCTTTGCCATAACAGAAATTATATTGGATGGCTTGATTTGTGCATCACTTATTGTGTAGCCCGCATGTTAGCGGACGTGACCCAGCCTGGGCCGCGTTTTTGCGTGAGCATCGCGCAGCCTGAAACCTAGTGGCTCGGGAAGTAAAGTGGAATATGCGTGTAGTGGTTTGGTGCTTTTATGGACAGTCAAGGCTGGTAGCTGGAACTGGGGAAGTGGCTTCGAATTTTGTAGATAAAGCCTTGAAAGTCGCCAAGCGGCAGAGCTCTTTCAAAGATGTAACACGAACGCATCAGTGCTTCTATTCAACTACAAAACACGGTGGGTATGTATGAAGCATGAAGCAGGGCGGTACTACTGGAATGTGTGTTTGCTACACGTGAAGTCGACAACCTGGCCATTGGGAATAGAGCACGGATTTTAAGGTAAAGACAACAAGCGAGTGACTAGCGTCGTGTAGCTTCCTTGGGTCTAGAACACAGCTGGATGGCATGGTCGGGGCTGGGGCTCAGGAAAAGCTGAGGCACGTAGGCGACGGCGAATATGGGAGGATATGCGCGCGAAGCAGGTGAGGGGCTACATTACAGGTGCTTTTGCAGCGTTCAATGTTCTTTACGTAAAAACGCGTGTTTAAATTCCTAGAGAGACGTATAACATTTGAGCGTGGTCACCTGTCACATACGTTGAATTTTTAAAACGCATGTGAACAGTGAGGTTAATGCTCCATGGCACGGAAGATCGCTCTACATAAAGGACGCATCGGTTATGGGTAACACGAGTGCGCAGGTACTAGCAGCAGTGCATCTGTACAACGGGAACGAAATCGCAACATAACCGCCTTACTAACTGAAGTCCTACAGCTATCGCCTGCTACCTTGAAACAACAGCTTGCGGAAACCTTGCGCGCCGGGAATGGTCGTAGCTAAGCAAGGGGCATAGCCGCGAAACTGGGCGAGAGAAGTGTGTAATAACTACCTGTTAACGACTGTCCTCCACGTGTTCCTATCGGCCCTGCCCAAATTCCATATGGGAACTCCTCCGCGCGCCGTTCCTTTGCCAATCCAATATCAGGAAAATTCCTAGTACCCCTGCCGGTCGCCTGAATCCAAAAGAGTAACATATCAACACCCTTTACATCTGCAGAACTGCTACACTACAGTGGATGCGTCTTCCAGGCAAATCGGTCAACTGATGGTTGGTCTCATGATATGAATCCTGTATGCAGTCTTGATAAGCACATTGTGGCACGTAGTCGACATAGTTGCAAGCCGGCATCACCCTAGTCTACTAACACCCTTTCCGTCCAAGCCCCCCCTCGCCTTGGAGATTTGCTTATCGCCTTACAGGTCTACTTCAAATGGCGGCCATCTGTGAGCGTCTGACTCAGGCCCCTTCGTGGCAGCGTAGGTGCGAGCCCATAGCCGCTTGTGGTGACGTCTGGGTGGTAGGAGGGCTTGCCGCCGGGGCAGCCTTGTGGGATGAAGAGGCCGATGCGCTCAGCGTGCGATATGTCTGATGAATATGTGCCGAGCATCCGCATGGCCTGTCGGCAGGAACAGCAAGGGAAGACAACATCAATCTTTGCGTCGTGATCCTGTTTCAGGAGATTGAAGTTGCGGTGGGGTTCCTGTACTTGAATTTTATTATGACCGCCTCGCAGTGGGCTTAGGCCTAAATTAAGTGGATCTTTGCAGGGTGGATGGAGTGCAGTGTTATCTTTAAGGAGCCATCGAAATGGTTATGCGGGTGGTGAGGTCCATGTTGCCTTTACATGTAAATCATACCGTTCGAAAAATGTCTTAACAGCTGCACAACTTGCCTGGTTGGTTGTCTCAGTCTCTGGCCGAATTTGGCACATGAAATCCAGAGGATACGCCCTTTTAAATCGTCCGGCAGTTATTTTGTGTTGCTGCTCAATAGGCGTGCCGTGCTGGTACAAGCCCTGCTTGAAGGAGTTATGTGTGTACTGTGCTGGGCAGGTGTTGCTGTCAAACCTGCAAGCAACACAGATAACGTGTATGTAACCGGTCCCAGTTTTCGACCCACACGTGTGTCAGGAAAGGAGTCGTTGCGTACGACCGAACAATGCTGGGGAGGGGAATCCTCTAGCGAATTAAGAGCATTGCTTGCTGCGGCATATGGTTAAAATTTTGGCAGTGACTCCTAGGGAGGGACTCATCAATTGAACAATACTCACCCGCTGTTCTTAAAGCTGTAGTTTACTTGCGCTTGACCCTCCTGTGTCAAAGGTCCGTAAGGGTGACATTGTCTCCATTAGCTGGGTACCGATCAGGGTTAACTTGGCATACCGACCATGCACAGGGTTTCGTGGAACTAAACCACAACGACTCCCTCAGTTCGCTAAATGTCCGATTCACGAGACGTCTTAACAGTACGGTTTGCCTGCGCCCTCGCGTATTATCGGAAGGGACGCACCTGGAACGGAGGGATGGAACGTGCTGAACTCTGGCGGAGACCCGCATCAGAAGTCAGGCGCGTCCAAACGTCCGACTCATGTGGCGTCAAATAAAGCCTATGCAATCCACATGAAGCAGATAAGGAAGCGTGCGGCTAATCCAGAGACCATGGCTCATGGCTCTGGCAGACCTGTTGTACTTGTGGACATCTTCGTTCGCCATGCTTAAACGATCTCGGTAGCGCATTGTCGACGGGTACACTGGGTCTGCCATGTTTATCTGGCTCGTCGTATGTAGTATTGGCCCAATTAAAGACGCAACTTATGGTTATCTACCTAAAACTATATGCTGAGAATTTGTAAGGTTGTAAGGTTATTTCTTATTGGGAAGAAAACGCTCTCATAGGTTTAAAGGCCATCTAAGCGCCCGTACTGTCCATACGGCACCTGTTCGCGTCTTACATCCCGCGGCAATCCAGCTATGTATTATATATGCTGTAATTTGCTCATGTCAAGTCGTCCATTGCATACAGTTTTGCGCGGAATACAACGATTTGCTCCCGACGTTTTGTTACCTGCAGAACGTCAGGAGGAAGAGGGCTTCAAGTTTCACTTGCAACCATTATGTAAAAGCTAGTAGGACTACATGTGTGTTTTTAGGAGATGCCAGACCATCTTCGATGCCCCTTGTCCCCTGGCCTATATACTCCTGTTGACAGCACGACCGGTGAAGAGTGCGGCAAGGTGCGGGCGAAAGGAAGGGGGTCTAGATGAGAGTTTATCTGCCCGCTTCTATAAGCGCCTCGTAGGGCACGTACGATGAGAACTAAGCATATTTCCATGCAAAAGATGCGGCTCGCTTGTGAACATGTTTTAATGATGCCCATTTAATGATGCCCATTTTTAAATGATGATCCATATAGAGACCTGGGTAGTGCTTCTTAGTCTCAGCCTTTGAAGCCCCTTTGTCACAGATTGCCACGGTTGCAGGGCACAGTATTCCCCAAAGGCTACTATCCACGACGTCAATGTCCTGGCTGCAGTCGGGTGCGGATTCGCAAGCCACTTAGGTTCCGAAGAGATCAGGGATTCAGGACCCTAGAAACGAAAGTTCGGTACTTCGGTTGCCGACGTCGTACCCCGAAGCAAGGTCACCAGTGGTGGCTCACCACAACGCATTAGTGAAATAAAATTATGGCGGTCACTAGCGGAAGGTGCTAACCTCAACTACTTGAGCGCAATGGACGAGTTCTGCTAAAAATGGCTCAACGTTATGCCAAGTCGATTACTTCTTTGCTAGCATCCTCTACGAGATCCTTATCGTCCAGCAGCCAAGCAGGTTGCTGCATAAGTTTTGCGCCTTTTGTTGGATCACAAGCGGGAACGTCTTGGAGCTCGATACTTAATCAGCTTCCTCAGCAAGCGGCGCACACGCTTGCCAGTTCGCACGCATGGCTACGATGCTTAGGGACCAGTACAATATGTCGGACCTATCGTTTGTCGCGGGCGACTAACCATAGCCCGGCTGCTCTATCGGGAGTTCTGAGCGACCACAGTTGGCGCTGCTTGGGAAGGAGTACCGATGCGGGATTAGCATGGCAACGGTTAGCCTGGCCGAGCTTCCAGCAGACGGCTTCCATGGCGACGATTGGACAACTGCTGCGCGGCGCCCGCAAGGGCCCTCCCAAGCGCAAATGTAAACTGCGGCAGCTGGACGGCAGCCCTTTTAAAAAGGGCATCTGCCTCCGAGTTTACACGATGACACCTAAGAAGCCGAACTCTGCAAACCGCAAGGTTTGCAAGGTACAGCTCACGAATGGGTTTAAGGCACTGGCCTACATTCCAGGTAGGTGCAAGCCTTTCAAGTCTGCGTTTCCCGAGTCCTTAGCCCTACGCGGTATGGCGCGTCGGCCTACATCCTCGTTGTTTCTTCTCGTTTCCCGACGTGATTCAATAGGCCCCCCATGCGTCTTCGTGACCCGGCATGACACTTTCTGGCGGAAGGGGGCGATGTTTGCCTCCTCTGCCGTCGGTCGCAAGACACCTACCCGGCAAGGCTTCAGCTTAACTCTCTCTCTCTCTCCCCTCTCTCTCTCTCTCTCTCTCTCTCTCTCTCTCTCTCTTATTCCTGATATATTGAGATTACCTCTGTGCCCTCCCTTACCCTTACCTGCTGACTCTTCGACTTGTGCGGTCGTTTACCTCATCCCGCCTCACCCTGTTACCCCGGCCCCGCTCCGCCGCGGTTCGCTTTTCCGTCCTAGGTGAGGGCCACAACCTTCAAGAGCACAGCATGGTGCTGGTGCGCGGCGGCCGCGCACGTGATCTTCCCGGCGTCAGGCTGCGCGTTGTACGCGGCCGATACGACTGCGCGGGGGTCAAGGACCGCAAAAAGTCCCGGTCGCGGTACGGCACGAAGCGTCCCAAGGCCGCCTGACCTACCGCGCGATGACGTGACCTGACAAAACTGGCAGATGGGAAGCAATACTGCAGATCAGGGCGCTCCGAAACCGCTATACCACTCCAGTCGGTAGGGTTGGTGGGTTGCCTGCATATTCAAAACGGGGCTGGGGTTGCCCATGGGGTTAGGGTTGGTTTACTTGAGTGGTTGGTTGGTTGCATTGCAGTTCGGCGGCTGGCTGCGGTGTTGACACTGCTGTGGCGGACGGCCGCGTCCACTCACACGAGCCGGCTGGCTAGCTGACGGGACGTGTAAGACAGAATCCTGTACGAATTTGGACATGGCAGGCCGGTAGTTGAGTGACATCAATTTCGTTGTAGCACAAATTTTCCAGTGCCCTTCCTGTCGCCTTGAGTTCCGTACCGTCAGGAAAACAGGTTTGACTGGTACGGAGACGATACCTATCTGGACTTCACGGGGTTTATGGTATTTACGGGGTGCAATGACGCCACAGCTTTTTATGGGCGGTCGGTTTGGCGAAGGGAGCAATAACGACAGCTTACGTCTGGATACTGCTAAGGGGAACAACGGGGCATTGTGCCTTCTTGGGGCTCCGGGCTGCCGGTATCTCGTTCTCGGTGTTGCAGGGCGAGAGGACCTAAGGGCTCCAATGGGAAGGGCGGCGAAGGTGGGCCGCACCAAGCACAGGCAGAGCGCATTATCCTTGGCGGGCTGTACCCAGGACAGGGAGGTTGCCTGGCCAGTTGCAAGGCCTGACCCTGCTACCCAATCAGGAGGAATCCCTACGTCTCCGGTGGTGCTCGTTGCTCCGGATTATGGCGCACTGTTGGGCCTTCGGGATTGTTGCGAGTGCGCCGTGGTCAGAGGGCTGTTAGATGCGGTGTTTGGCCATCCATCAGAACGCCGCAGGTTGGCAGTGCTTCCCGGTCTTAAGGATGAAGGCTAGCATTTGTCCAAACCCTAGCAGCGTAGCCTATTAGTTTTTCCTCGTGCGGAATGGGGCATGGCAGTGCGATTGAGTCCAGGCTGGGTGGTATCTATCTGAGAAGCAACTAGGACTGGGGAGGAAGAGCCACGTTGCTTGCTTATCGGTTCGACCCAGCCACATGACATACAGGAATAGCGGCTCAAGCTTCATATTAAGGAAGGTGTAAAGGTTCCGGCGCCCGTCCGTGCGAACGGCGGTGCCGTCGCCTCTATTATGTACATATATGCCGGAACCACCGGCCTCCACATTTTATACTTTGCACGTCCGAGGTTCGTTGCGTGTTGACCCACTCTATTGCGACACACTCTTGGAACCTTAATCTAGGATCAACCAGAGATTGAAAAAAAGAGCCACAGCCGTATTACCTCCAGCGCATGGGCCCCTCCCTTTGGTTGACCGTCGTAGGCTGTTTGCTGCGTTTGTCACCTGCCAAGGATATAGCACCAGCCGCTCACCACTCGCCTCGCACCCGGCTGGCGGACTGACGGGCTCTTTCTAGCTGTGTATCGATATCACCACAGCTTTATCCACACGTGCACTTCGATAACGGCAAAGCCTGGCCTGCAGCAGGTTCCTCCCGGCGTAGCCCAAATTGCAGCCACCGCCACCACCTGGCTCCTCTTCCTCGCGCCGTGGGCGCGCCACGTCTGCAGCCCCCCAGTTCATATTCCTGCTGTGCTGGTGGTGCCGCCATATCTTATGCCTCTCTCTTTCTCTCTCTCTCTCTCTCTCTCTCTCTCTCTCTCTTTCCCCCCCCCCCATGTCATCACGTATGCTGAATATACACGTCATTTTACGCCAGGGGCCACGTGGCGTTGAATTTCCACATCACCCAGTGCGCCGAGTCAGTCAAGTTGTGTCGTGGCATCACGTGGCCTCCTCCCCTCTCGCCATATTGGCTTGCTGCACTGCCAACGCAGTGAGGTCCTCCGGTATGCCGGGTACGGTGGCCAGGATGCGGGCGAAGAGGCTGGTGAACAGGGCCTTGACGCCCGCACCGCTGCTGGCGGACACCTGTCAGTCACTCGAGGAAAGCGACACAGAAAAAGATGGGGAGAGAGGAATAACTGGAAACGGGAAAAGGTCCTTGAAGCGAAAGGAGCTTTGGGTTTGAAGCGGAAGCAAGACGAGGAAAAGAAGAAAGGAGTGCGGCAAGTATTCGAATAAGACTGAGGACATCCACTTGTGTCATTTGCGCCAACCAGTCTACGGGAAGGAGAAAACAAACAGCTGGAATTCAGGACAGGAGATGTGTGCGGGAGGGGGCCGCAACGGGGCCAGAAAGTGAAACCAGTGTCCAGATACCCCGCGCCTCCAGCCCCGTGGCCTCTCCATCCTCGCACCTCGTAGAAAGGGAAGCCCTTGGACTGCGCCCACTCGCGACCCTCCTTCTCAAACACCTTCCGAACAGGCAAATCGGTCTTAGCGGCCGCGACGAAGATTACCTTGGGAGCAGGGGAAGTGGGAGAGAGGGCGGGTTTTGGAAAACGCGGACGAACGAGCGAACGATAAGGGGGAAAGGAGCGCTCGGCCAGGAGGTAGCTAGCTTGAGTAGGAACCGATGGCGACAGGTAGCAACGCGCAGGCGGGAATGGAGTTGGCGCAGGCGGGGTTGGAGCACAGTTAAGAGTTTGCAGGTTGCCGCACGCAGTCCCTAAGCGCAGCCCGCCCTACATCAACTCTCGTTCCCATCCAGGTCCACTTGCGTCCTTCCTCTTTTAAACCTCTTTTGAAAACCTTGCATTCTTCGGTAGAGGAGTTGCTCGGCCCACGTTTCCGTCGCCCTGCCCCCCTCCTCCTTTTTCTACACCTACTAGTTTACGTTTTGGCTATAATTTTTCTGGCGGCTTAGGTAGGTAGGACTTCCAACTTCTACGCCAATTCTTCATCCCGAGGTTACAGTCGTCACATTCGCCACGGACGCCTTTCGGTCAGTTCTTTCGGTTGCTACTATCTTGCTCTGGCAGCAGCTTAAATCGCGTGTGGTTCGTCTTTCCCCCTCCTCCTTCCCCCCATCCCTTCTCCTCCTTCTACCCCTGCTCGCACCATGTTCTCAGCGCCGTGTCGTTTGCTCTCCTCAAGCCAGATCTCCAAGGACTCGAAACTTGCCCGATTAGTCACATCGTACACCAGTACACAACCTTGTGCTTCCTTGTAAAACTCATTGCGCACCTCCGTGTAGTCGGCACCGCCCGCCAGATCCCATAAATTGACCCGAACCTGAGCTTGCAGCGGCGGCGGCATCCACGACAGAGCGGCGATGGCAAGAATCAGCCACGACATCATGACGCATGGCAATGTTACGAGCAGGAGCGAAATCAGGAACGGGCTCGTAAGCTGCGTGTTGTCCAAGGGCCTCAAATTTCGTTAGGGGGTAGGAGGCCGGACCGAGGTAGGCCGGACCGAGGCCGGAGGCCGGACCGAGGCCGTCGGCGCTGTTGCATGACATCTCCCTAGACCTCGATGTCCGCCTTTATGAGGGAAAGGGTAGTCTGTGCTGGTGCATCACTGGTGCATCACTTTCAGCCCAGTCCCCTTGCTCCCCTTGCCCACCTCGTAGTCGTTGTATTTGTTGGGTTTGACGCCGTAATCAACACCGATCGTAGGTATGTATTTGGAAACGAACTTCTCCTCACAATAGCTGTGGCGGGGGTGTGATTATTTTTTATCAGAGCGGTCCACCAGAGAGCACATGCTGACTGACGCGGCCCATTCGGCCAGGACTGCTCCTCCTCACCGCTTTATGAGACAGGATTTACCGCATGCGGAATCGCCCATGGATATAACCTTGATACGAAATAACTTTGCACGCGCATTCTTCTTGCCGGTCGCGGCCTTCACGGCACGCATATTGTACGCTGACTGACTGTATTAGGCAAAGAATTCACATTCTGATTCAAATATACTAGTATAACATTTCCATAGCGACTTGCGAGGCTTAATTCAAGATCGAAAGGCAAAGAAGTACTTGCATTGCCCGGCAGAAATAGAGCACACAAAGGATGCGTTAAGTCACGTCTTCGGTGAGGGTCACGAATATGGTCGAAACCGAAAAAATCAATAAACAAATGCAGGCCAGGTGGTTCGCAGCAGAAAGGTCGTCTGTACGTCATTCAACGACGTTGAACCAGTTCGCGTGCTCGCGAGCTCGGAAACAACAATCAAAACAGTCCCGTTCCTCGAAATACTCACTGCGCCGTAAAACACATCGCTGCTACCTCCCTTCACAAAACATCGTGACCAACGGATCGTGCACCGATGGTGACGACCACACCACACCACTGTCGACAACACCTCTGGCCAGCAGGAAGGATTAAGCCACTTAGTTCTACGCAACAACTCTCACACATACCAGCTTGAAAGCCTGAACCATCTTTTCAAAAAGGACATCAAAGTCACCAAGGATGGGCCCAGCAACCGCTCCCGAAATTCCATTCCATTCTTTCCTAGCCCCACACTGCGAAACCGTTTCCTTGCACCTCACCCCAGTCTACGCAATTTCTGTTTCCAGCTAAGTCCAGCTCGGGGGCCCATAAGCATTTTTGCTTGTTTAGGCCGTATAACCTCATAAAAGCTTGTAACGAAAAAGGTTAAAACGAACGTCCCGCCCCAAAACGACTAACTAATGCAACCCGGCCTGACACATTTACTACAAATCCACCAAGACTTGAGAAGGGTCCCCAAATCCCAAACCCGGTCACTTAATTCCGCACTATTTCACGAATTTACAGGCAGTTGACGGCCTACAACCCCCGGCACTCGCCCCCACCCCATCCCTCCCTCCTAACACCTCTTATATTAAGCGCACACACCCACACGGATCTTCCACAGCCATTTCCATCTCGCGGCGCAGACCGTTAAAACACACACACATACACACATACATACACACACATACACACATACACACATACACACATACACACATACACACATACACACATACACACATACACACATACACACATACACACATACACACACGCACATCCTGCGCGCACGATGCCCAGCCCCAACCCAACCCCCTACCGACCCCGCGCTAGCTGCCACAGCCCCCGCCACTTTTGCCGCTGCTACTGCCAGTATCCATTTTAGCTAACGCTACAGCTCCAGTGCCAGCACTCCTGCTACTGCCCTACCGTAACCGCCCAGGCAAGCCCGTCTCCTCATCCCCCAACTTCACCCCCCCGCCCGAGAACAAACCCCCCGTTCCCTCCACCCCCCCGGTCTCTGGGGACCCCAGCAGTGGCCGCTTCAATTCCTCCCCATTACCAGACCTGCCGTACTTCGTACCTCCCACATGCGACAACGGCAATAATGAGGATGAGGATGACGAGGATGATAACGGCCCAAAAGTGGTCCCCGGTCCAGCTTTTCTCGCCGCCGCTGTCGCCGTCGCCGTCGCCGTCGCCGCCGTCGCCGCAGCTGCACCATCGTCGGTCGTGGCAATTGGCGCCGCTTTCTCCACTTGGAGGCGCTCCAATGCGGCTTCGGCGGCCGCTGCACCCGACTGCACGGGCCGGGATGCGAAGTAGCCATACCCCACCATCCCGAGGAACGCCAGTGCCATGCCTGCTCGGTTACCGTGTGTGTGTTTTGGGTGGGGTTGGGAGGGGATTGGGTTCGAGGTTTTGGAAATTTTTTATAAAGAAAATTTGGTGGGTTTTCGGGGTTTTGGAGGTAGCCTCAGGTAGGGCAGCGTTGTGCATTGTGGGGTGATGGGTTTTAGGGTTTTAGTGGCTAAGGAGGTGGGGAGGAGATGAAGCCCGGTGACAGGCAATGGCGTCACACAACGACCTTGGAAAGCACCCTTGTCACGTTGGCACGATAACAACACCGGCAAAACACAGAACACGGCAGCTTGCCTTGACCAACCCATAAAAATGTGGCACCCCTCTGCTCCCTGTCCTCGTCTTCACCCCTACTAACTCCCCTTCCAACCCCGCCAACCACCTTACCGAAGGCTTTCCTAGGGTTGATTGGCTCGTCAAACAACAACCAACCGCCTAACAGAACCTGCGGATGGTCATTTGGTGGTTGTAAGTTAGTTGTTTAACTATATACATACATGAATGTATATGTGCGTGCCCTAAAACCCTATATATACACACCCGAGCGCAACCCCCCCCACGAACCCACATCTTAGTCCCCCCCACATGTCACTTGCTGCAACGGGCTCCACACAACCCTCACGGGCGAACAACCCCCAAAACCCTAAATCCTCAATTTCCCCGACGGAAATAAAAAATTGCGACGTCGGTATGTATATCCTCATTTGTCCTCATTTGGGTGAGTGTGGAGGACCATTCCAGTCAGCCGGCCGGGGCCTGCTGGCCCCCTCGGATCTCACCCGGCAACTGCCCACTCAGCCGGGTTAGCTTCCACAGCCACCCTCCACACACCCCTTTCCCCCCTCGTCCACTCAGCACCGCTTCCCCTTTCCCCTTAACGTCGGCAGCTGTTTATTTCACCTTTTGAGTTTGGTTGCCCCGACCTCGGCAAAACACTTTCACCCACGCACGCACACCCACCCACGCGCGCACGCACCAGCAACGTCTTGGCGTGACCCAAAACTTGGAAGCTGGTAGCTGTGAAACGACCCAGCACCAAAAATTGGGAACCGTTAACTGCAACCGCCAACAGACAAGATAACGCCAACATTTCCAGGCCCGGCACGCTGGCCTGTACGGCAATACGGGCATCGCAAGGCGTGTGTTTTGTACGACATGCCGTGTGAGACACGAGGGCGTGGGGGGTAGGGGAGAAAGGAGGGGGGAGAGGTGGTTAAGTGGTTATTATGTGTGACAGTCAGGGGAAAGTGTTCGGAGAGTTCCAGGGTGCCTGTGTGTGTGTCGGGGTTTTAGGGTTTTAGGGTTTTGGGTTTTGGATGCCCTAGCTGCGTGTTAATATTGTTAAACGCAGCAAAGCGCCGCGGAACCCCCCCCCCGGGTCCTATTTACTGCTCTCACCATTCACGGGTATTATATATGCGAGTGTTGGTCACTTTTCAACAGAAACGTCGGGCCGCCCAACCACCACCCAACCACCACCCCAACAAACTAACGAATTCGACACGGTCTCCTGCTCATGCCCAGGGGGCTCACAGCTCGAGGTCATTTGGTCCCGTGTTTCCCGAGCCCCAAGGCCATTTTGCCGTACACGTTCCGTGTTTCCGTGTGTTGTGTGTTTTGTCCCGAATCTATCCCAGATTACATGCACGCAGGGCCCCCATTATCTGCTCGTACATCCGTACATCTCACCTCCCACTCCAGGATCCATTTGCTACATGCCAGCTTGTCCACGAAGGGGCCCACGATCATGAGGATCATACCCTAGGGGCCGTTGGGAAGTTAGTTGTTTTCAGTTGGGCGGTTGGGAATGTTGTTGGAGAGGCATCTAAATTATGTCGTTCATCATAGTGAAGGAAAGGGGAATTAATGTTTCCTTCGTGGGAATTTGCAACACGTAAACCACATAAAAACACGTAAAACACATAAAAAAAATACGGAAAACACGTAAAGGCAAACACGCGCAGCCCCGAAATCCATTCCCCCGTCGTTCCCCCGTCATTCCATCCATCCGCCTTTTTACCTCCTGCCCAACCTTTCCTCTACCACCACCATCACCACCACCACCACCACCACCACCACCACCACCACTCAAACAACAAACCTGGAGGAAGCTCGTATTCGACATCAGTTGATGACTTTGGAGCTGCAATGCGGTCTGCAAATGACCACACAGGATTTGCTGACTGCCTCCCGTCACGATAAACAGCGCCGCCATGGCGAGGCCCGGACCATTGACCGTTACGTCGTTAACCGTTACAACGGCTACGCCCGTCAGCACCACCACAATACAAGCGAGGGCGGATACGGGAAAGCGCTTCTTCAGCCACAACACCTCCACAGCCGCCACGAACGGGCTCATGAGTAACTTGGCCACCTGGTAGAACCCCACCTGCAGTAGTGTGTATTGCGTGAACATGAACAGATTTCAAAAACGGTTTGGTTAGTTGTACTGTCAACCGCCAACGCTATAACCGTCAACGACCGCCTTTCGGTGTACCTTTGTATGTACCTTTCAGTAGGTTATGACCATCCAAAGGTGCCCAAGGTCATGTGTACACTGTAGCACCGGCATCGCTGTATGCCCAAGGCTATACACACACACACACACACACACACACACACACACACTCCAAGGCTATACACACACACACACACTCCAAGGCTATACACACACACACACTCTCTTTTCATGCTCAGCACCCCGCCAGCAACCCAAACCCAAAGTTCTCAAACCCCATTCTCGTCCTCACCTAAACCCCCCAAACCCAGCATTCAACCACCAATCGCCAACCCATCCCACGGCTGGCCACTACGATCACTACCACCCCACCCCAGTCCACCCCACCCCAGCCCAGTCCACCCCACCCCAGCCCAGCCCAGTCCACCCCAGCCCAGCCCAGTCCACCCCACCCCACCCCACCCCAGCCCACCCCACCCCACCCCACCCCAGCCCACCCCACCCCAGCCCACCCCACCCCAGCCCACCCCACTCCACCCCACCCCAGCCCAGCCCACTCCACTCCACCCCAGCCCACCTCAGCCCACCCCACCC